GGCTCATGTTCAGCCTGCAGTCAACCAGCACCCCGAGGTCCCTTTCACAAGCGCTGCTCTCCAGCCACTTGTCACCTAACCTGTACTTATGACAGCTATTCCTATGCCCCAAGTGCAAGACCTTGCACTTATCCACATTGAATGCCATCCTGTTGTCTCCTGCCCACTTCCATAGTCTGTCCAGATCCTTTTGGATCTGGAGTACCTGCTCCTCAGTTGTGGACATTGCCCCAGTTTTATATCGTCTGCAAATCTGATCAGCAGACTGCTCACCCCTTCTTCCATGTCATTGATGAAAAGATTAAACAAGGTCAGCCCCAGGACAAAGCCCTGGGGGACCCCGCTTGTCACTGGCCGCCATCCTGATGATTCCCCACTAATGGTTACCCTCTGTTTTCAGTCAGTCAACCATGCCCTAATCCACCCGACAGTGCTTTGGTGTATCCCAAAACTCCTCAGTTTCTCCACCAGGATATCATGGGGCACTTTGTCAAAGGCCTTGCTGAAATCCAGGTATACCACATCCACTGCATCCCCTCCATCTAGCCATCTTGAAACCCTGGCATAGAATTCCACAAGGTTTGTCTGGCAGGACCTGTTTTTGTGGAAGCCGTGCTGTGTGGCTGCCAGCCTCCCTTCCCTATCTAGCATCACTAGATCTCTCTCTATTATGAGCCTTTCCATTGTTTCTCCTACAATGGACATAAGGCTAACAGGGCTGTAATTCCCCATGTCGCTTCTACTACCCTTTTTGAAAATTGGGACCACTGATGCCACCCTCCAGTCCTCTGGAACTTCACCCGTTCTCTACAAGACCTCAAAAATGTAGGCCACCGGGCATGAGAGAACCCCTGCCAACTCTCTAAGTACTCTCAGGTGTAACCTGTCAGGGCCTGGCACCTTTGTAATGTCCAATGCCCTGAGAAGCCCCGCAACTTCTAGGGGAGATGACTCTAATTTGTGCTCCGAAGTCCCCAGCCTCATCTAATCTCCTATGCAGATCTCCCCCGTCCTGCTTTGGGGAAAATACAGAGGCAAAATAGTCATTTAGCATCTGTGCCTGTTCCCTTGTATCAGTCACTGGATCTCCTTCTTCCTTATTTAGGGGTCCTATTACTTGTCTCCCTTTCCTCTTCCTATTTATATGCTGAAAGAAGCCCTCTTTGTTGCTCTTGATATTCTTGGCAAGTCTCAGCTCGTAATCAGCCTTAGCCTTGCGAAGAATCCTTCTGCAATGGGCCTCCTCCTCCCGGTATACCTTTTGGTCTATTTCCCCCAGTACCCATTTCCTACGGAGGTTCCTCTTTCATCTAATCCCTCTAACCACCTCCCTTCGCATCCATGGCGGCACTCTCCTCCGCCTCCCCACCTTACTAACCAGAAGTATCGTCAAGGCTTGCGCCTCCAAAGCCTCCCTTTTGAGTGCCATCCACCCCTCCTCAACTCGCTTACCTTCCAGTAGCCTGTCCCAGAAGACTTTCCCCAGTCTGGCCTTCAGTTGGCCAAAGTTGGCCCTCTTGAAGTCCCAGCTTCTAGCGCTCGACCTGCTGCCCATCCCCAGTCCCCTGATCTCAAAGCAAAGGATGCAGTGATCACTCGCATCCAGAGCTCCAATCTGTACTTCATCTACCAGCTCCTCCCTATTGGACAAGACCAAGTCAAGGATGTTTCCCCCCCTCGTCGTCTCTCGGACCCTCTGTGTGAAAAACCTTCTCTCTATAGCTTCCAGGAAGAGACATGACCTGGCTGTCACCGCCGAGTGGGTCTCTGAACTAGTATCTGGGGGACTGCAATCTCCCATAATTACGGTGTCTCTCCCCCGAGATATCCTTAGAATCTGGCCTGTCGGATACTTGTTCTCCTATACTCAGCACCAGTCAGATCTCACCTAAGTACCATGTTCCGTTCTGAGCACCGAAGTTTTAAAAAGACGCAGAAAAGCTGGAGAGGGTTCAGATGAGGGCAATAAGGATGATCCAGGGACTGGAAGCTAAGCTAATCTGTGAGGAAAGATTAAGTGAACTGGGCATGTTCAGGCTTGAGAAGACTGAGGATGATACGAAGGCACGCTACAAGTACTTGAACAGCCATGACAAAGGAGGACAAGATCTCTTCCCGACCACTCCAGAGTGCAGGACACAGAATAATGAACAAGTTACAGGAGACCAGATTCGGGCTCGATACCAGGAAAAATTTCCTCACTGTCACAGCAGTGCAACAGTGCCACCTATTACCTAGGGAGGCTTGTGTGCCCCACACAAGAGGCATTCAAGAAGCAACTGGACAGTTTCGTCAGTGGGACGGTGTAAACTCGTGTCCTGCGACAGCAGGGGTTTGGACTCAATGGCCTTCTTTGCCCCTTCCAGCTCTGCTTTTCTAGTATTCCATGATCTGCCTGTGTCAATCTGCACAGCAGATTAAACACTCTAATTTAAAACAGTGTTGCACAAATTCCTAAGCATTCAATTTATACTTTATGAAAATCTGGCTGTCAGTTCCTGCTAAAAGGAGGCTAGGAAGAAGTGCAGATGCTGAAAGCTGGTGCTCGTGGTTCTCCAGGCAGCCATGTTATTACATATTTGCTTGAGGGGATCCAAGATCCTTTGCACCCCAGTTAAAGGGGAAAACACTGGGCCCAGAGCCGGAAAAACTTACCCCCATAAGGCAACGGCACATGTTGGCATAGGCAACGGAGAAGTTTGGCTCAGAGATGGCCTTCTCGAAGATGAGGTCGATGACGCCCTTGAGGCGTTCCTCTGTGTCAATAGACAGCTCTGTGACCTGCTTCATCAGCTGCTGGAACATCTGTGGTGTCAGCTTGTTCAGAATGCTACGCACACGCCGGAACAGTTCCTGAGGGGAGGTGACACAAGATGTGACGAGCAGGAAGAGCTTCCTGTACAAATCCCCTGCTGGCTCCACACCCGCTTCTCACACACAACGGCTCAGAAAACCCGGGCTGGTCTGGAGACAAGCTGCTTCTAACAGCCCCTGCACACGAGGGTGGCAAGTAAGGAGAGCGCCAGGCAGGAGCAGAGCTGTTGGGACCATCCTCGCCATTCAAGCGAGGTGCATTCAAGCTTCTGCCATTTAGAGGAATGCCAATCCACAGGGGTCTGGGGGTCTGGGGCTGGGAAGTGCCCACCCCTTCCCTTCTTGGTGCAGAGGGAAGAAAAGCCCACTCATTTTGGAGTCTCATCTATCTTCTCCTTTCCTGGTCCCCTGAAAATGACATTTAACTCTGTAACGAGGTGAAGAAGGAAACACTGTGGAGTCTCAACCTGGAAGGAAGGAAGGAAGGCTTTTCTGCCTCCAGGGTGGAATAGGAAAACTTCCTCTGAAGCAGCTAAACAGTCCAGAGCAGGAGTGTCCCCAAAATACCAATTATCCGTGCAAAGAGGTTGAGGAGACAAAATATAGTGACTGAACAACACCCACCAGCAGCTCTCTTTCAGCACCAAAACAATTGTGGGCAGCATGTTCTTTGGGAAATAAAAAACCATCTGTGAAGTACCTAAAAAGAAAGGTGAAAATCCCCCCCTCCCCCAGCTCCTTTTCATACACTAATTAGAAGAAAAGCGGTCTGGTTCTAGCATTAAATCCCATCTGCAACCTTTGGCTGAGCAACTTGAAGGGGAAAAGGCCCAGCTTCTGTCCTGCAGCTTTTGTTTCCTGCCACAGAGGACGGCACTCCTACTTCTCTATCCTCCTTTCCTTGGTGGCAAATGTGGAGTTCCCTTCTCTTTTCATTTCCCTTTGCCTTCCCATGGTGAAGGTGCAAACAAGAAACTGGGAGTTATGCTGTCCAACAGTCCCGAGACCCCAGCTGGTGTCCTTATTGCCCTTTGACTGCAGCATACCCACTGCTGGCCGGCCTTGTACTATTCCCGGACACCAGTTTTATGAGCTCAAGAGCTTTTACATCACTTCTTGTTGCTTAGCTTGCTTGCGCTGTAAATTACAGAGGAACCGTTGGATAGGAGAAGGGCCAACCCTACTGGGCCTAAGGCCCAGCTGCACCTCGGTGGCTCGAGCTGGCTGCCTAAGAGCACCCCCTGCAGTCAGCTGGCAGAAGGCTCGCCAAAGCTTTCTGTTCAGCCATACCTGAGTTTTTAAGTTCTCAGGATCCTCAGGCTCACTCGCTCGCTTGCTGCTGGGCTTCCAGGCTTTCTCAGCCTTGTTGAGCTTGACATCTTCGTTCAGAGACACTGTGGAGATAATCTTCCGCGTCTCCTTTCGCAGGCTTTGCTGTGAACGGCGCTGTCCTGGCCCTGCGGGCTGCAGTGGCAACAAATGGCGGGCGGGGGGGCAGGGCGGGGACAGAGCAGTGATGTCAGCGCTTCCTAGATGTCACGAGGACCCATCCCGCTGCACTTAAACATGAGCTTGGCAACAGCCAGGCATGCTGTGAGCCAGACAATGAGATGGAGAAGCGAACGGGACGCTTTTCGCTGCCTGCTCAGATCCTCAGTTCCATCACAGAGCATCAGTGGCCCAGACACGATGGCACTTAACTAGCAGATCATCACGCAGACAGAGAGAGCCAGGAGAGAGACACGGGCTGGCGGTACTTACCGGTCCACGGTTGGGCGGCGCTGGGCGGCCCAGGTTGGCGAAGGCGGGTGTGAAGTCTGGCCCACAATTCATAGTGTTCAGGCGCACGGGGTCCAGGGGCCGCAGGGGCATTTTGTTCGCCTGTCATGTTGAGAGGCAGGGAGAGCAAAGCACAAAAGGCACAGGTTCTGAGAGTCGGGGCCTCAGCGGCATCAGTCTTCTAGTGGCTTGCTGGCTTTTGAAAGTCTACTGCTCAGGAGAGCACAGGCCTAATGCCACCCAGGTAACCAGCTTCCACCCTCTGGGATCGGCACTGGCACTGGCACTCCCCGCCCGCCCCTGCCCCGTGGGGCAATGCCAAGGCTGTCCCAAGACTGTGCCTAGGGTATAGTCTTGTGGCTACACCAGAGCAGTTTCTGCTCCCTTTCGGGTAAATCCAGCTGCAGATGTGGCACTCACCTTTTCCAGGACCACCTCGGTGATGTGCGGCAACCCCTCCGGCTTCTGCATGCTGGCAAAGATGAACTGGAAGCCCAGCAGGAACTCCCGGTCATATCTCTTCTTCTCTTCTGGGTTCAGAGGCTTCCACTGCTCTGTTAATGGAAGAAGGGTGGAGAGAAGCAAACTGAAGCGCACTGCCTCTTTTGCCAGGGTTCACACTCATGCCAAGAGAAGGTCAGACACTCCCCAGAGCAGCAACGCAACAACTTCACTCCTTCACAGGACAGTGAAGGCTGAGCATCCACAAGCACCATACAATTCTGACAACCAAACTTTGGCAATTGTCAGGACCCTGCCTCTCCCTGCGTGGTGTGAAGTTAGGGACAATTTCCTTGCTGTACAACTCAGCTCCACATTTGGAACTGGAAAGAAGGGCAGGTTAAGATTTGGTTCTTCGCCCTCCTCTCCAACTTGAAGCTGGTTTAGGGTGGGGAAGTTGTAGAGGCCTCAGAAGACCATGGCTCCTGTACCCCTGCTGCATCTGTGAGGAAGTCTTCCAAAGGTAACAGCATACTCGCCATGGAAAGCAACAGGCTATTAAATACCATCTTTCTGGCAACCAGACTCCTCCACTGTCTTTCCGACCCCTCTACTCATATGCCCGCAGCCTGATTATCTAACCCAAACTTGCTTGATCTCTCTGACTTGCAGAGAGTCTGCCCAGCTTCTCTGCTCTACATAGCATCCGCAGCTGCTAAACTACAACTGCAATACAGTCACATTGGTTCTTTTTCATATAGGCAGAAATTTTAAGATGACTGAGGCTTGGAAGGACAGCAATGGAGGAACTAAAAGAGATCATCCAATGTTTTGATGGAGACTAGGGCCAAGGTCATTCATACCATTATATACCCAATCACCATGTGTCGGTGTGAAAGTGGGACAGTGAAGAAAGCTGACAGGAAGGAAAAGGATGCGTTTGAAACACGGTGCTGGAGGAGAGCTTTGCAAGTTCCCTGGACTGACAGAAAGAGGAACAGGTGGGCCTTGGATCAAATCAAGCCACTGCTTTCCCTGCAAGCAAAACTGGCCAGCCTGAGCCTATCGCACTCTGGGCACATCATGAGACAGCAAGACACCCCCTTTCCACGCGAGGGAAAGCTGAAGGCAGAAGCAGAGAAGGAAGACCAAATGTGAGATGGACGGACTCCATGAAGGAAGCCACAGCCTGGAATTTGCAAGAGCTGAGCCAGGCTGTGTGGATAGAACATTGGGGGGGGGGGGGGTTATTCACAGGGTCACCATTGGCTGGAGAGGACCTGATGGCACGGAACAACAACTGCTCCCTATGGGGTCACAATACCTTCCACCCAGGCAGTCCATTCGGAAGGACTGGGGTATCTCACAGATGAATCCTCTGAAGCTGTAATACATTCATGGCATTCCCCACCAAGTGTTCCCTGCCCGGGGGGGGCTTCTGGTGCCAAGTCAGCACAGCTGTCCAAGTCAGGGCAGCCCTGTATCCCCAGGCATTCTCCGCAAACCATGATTCCACCCAAGCCCTCACAAAACAGGCCTGCAATGCACAAACGGCCCTTCATTGGTTCTCAGCATTCAAGGGGCAGGATAGGTGGAGCGGGGTTTCTACCAAGCTGCTGCAACGGTCCAAGAAAACCCAACAGTTCCCAGATCATGAGTCTGCTCAGATCCTCAGATCCATCATGGTGTGTCAGTGGCCCAGACACGATGGCTCAAAATGGAGGTCATCACTGGAGGCTCAACGGGAAGCCATGAGGAAAGGATTCTGGCTGCAGCCCCGTCCAGGCTCACCTGTCTTGTAGTCATACTTCTGGCCCGCTGGCTTGACCTTCTCAGGGTCTAGCTTATCCTCCTTCTCTTCCCACGTTTCCTCGGCCTCCTCCTGGGCGCGTGCTGGGGCAGGCTCCTCAGGCTCTGGGGCTGGCACCGGGGGGTTGTTCTCTGTCTCAGGGCCTCCCTCACTGACCTATGAAAGCAAGCAGGAAGAGCGAATCAAGAAAGGCCAAGGACAGGACCCAACATCCATGCCAGCTGGGGCTGAATGGCCAAACAAGGTGCAGCAAAGCCCCTAAGCGGGCACCCCGGCCAGATCCTGCAACTCAAACCATTCCCTTCTGTGGGTCACAGAATGTTATCTGGCCCCCTTGCACCACCCCAAGCCCCCTGAACCTAAGGCACATCGGCACTTCTGAATGCAAGCCGGGCTGAATTATCATGGCTAACGCACAAGAAATTGCGGGAGCTGGTTCTGCAAGCCTGTTGCCTGTTCCTTCAGCACTGGGTGCCTGCAAAATACACCCTTGAGCAGGGCCATGAGGCCTGATGAGCATTCTTGGCACCCAGTCTCCTAGAGGCATCCTCCTGCCTCTTACACCAGTCTCTGGGGAAGTCGGAGGGGGGAGGGGGTGCTCTTGCATCCATGTTCTGATTGTGCATTGCCACTGACAAGGGACCAAACGGCCCCTCGATCCGATCCAGCACGACTGCTCTTACATCCTTACAGCAATCAGTTTAACCCTGTTTAATCTGCACAAATTAGAGCTCTGATGCTTTATTTTTATGCTGGGTGGGCTACTTAACCAACAATTTATTATTTATTTATCAAAACATTTTTATGCCGCCCCATTCGCCGAAGCCTCGGGGCGGCTTACAACAATAAATAAAAGTAATTATAATATAAATTACAATAAATATAAACATTAAAAATCCAAAAAATACAATATAAAATAAGCCGCCCTGGCCAGATAAGATCAAATAATACTAACAGTTAAAACGCCGCTTCAATAAAAAGGTCTTCGCCTGGCGCCGAAAAGCAAATAACAATCAATTTTTCTGTTGTACCCCAGTATAAATAATTGTTTTGAAAGCTTGGAAAGACTGCTTTTGTCTGTTAATGGCTTTAATGGGAAGAGACAGAAGTTTAGCACAGCAAACACAGTTTTGATTACAACATACGGTGATGTACAGGGAAATGAACATGAAGAGCGCATGAATCGGTAGCAGCCTGACTGAAGGAACAAAAGCCATGCCAAGGTCCTGAAACAAGCGTTTAGCTTTATCCAAGTGATGGAGATGTTCTGAAGGTCTGTGATACACTTTTAACTAGGCACTGATGGTGGAAGTATACTCGCCACCTTGCACAGAAATGTTCAAAAGACCTTATTAGCTTGCATTTGACATGCAGTTGCATCAATGTTGAACAAAATCAGGAAGGCAAAATTAATTGCTTACTATACTGGTATCTTCTCATTATTAAAAGTGGGGTGGGGGCAGAGATACATATGCAGGATACTAAATACTCTTTCTTCTTTCTGGGATTGCTAGCAGGCCCTCCATCTGGGTTTGGAGGTTTCATAAGGAAAGCCAAGCTTTTTCAAAATACTGAAATCTGAAGCCAATGTTGCACTTGCTTGTACAGCTGTGGAATCCAAAACAATTTCTTGCATTGCCACCAGTCCCAACACTTACTTTAAAAGCAGCCTTGTACTGAAAACTGCTAGCCAGAGGTAATGAGGAACTGCACGCAAGCAAAAGCATGGAATGTCACGCAGGCAAGAGAGCAAGCCGGAAGAAGCTGAAATACTCCTTCCTTCTCTGCACTCTTAGGGAAATTTAACTTCCTCGTTTTCCTCTGCCAGACCACAGCAGGCTGGCTAAACATCTTGCAGACTAGTACTTGTGGGATTATTTACAACACTCATCTAGAAACCCAAACCCAAACCAACAGGCCTCATGTGGGAAATGCTGCTGATGCTGCTCATAAGATCAGCGCTTAACAAGGATTCCTTAGGTGGGGGCAGAGATGGGCAATCTCAGCACAGAGCAGGTGACCATCGCAGGTGGTAGCACCCAGCTAGACGGCCACCATCATCCTTCAGGCTCCCATCTACTGGCTGGACAAGCCACATACCTCTTTGAAAGCATCCAACAGGTCTCCAACCGCCTCCTTTTTGTTCAGGTCCTTCAACTTCCGCTTCTTCTTTGGCACCGATACAGCCACTAGATATAGTGAAGGTAAACGTTAGACCCCTAATGAGGGCCGGTGTCATGTTGAGAGAACTTGACTGGGGACCCAGGAGATCCGGGCCCTACTCCTCACTCAGCCATGGAGTGATTTCGGGCCAGTCACAGACCCTCAGACCATCCTACCTCACAGGGATGCTATTGGGAGGATAAAATGGCACTAGGTAAGTCACCCTGGGATTGTCACAAGAGGAAACAAGGTGGGCTATAAATGCAACGCAGCACAATAATAATCGACAATGAATGACAGCTGCCTCTCCTCCAAGGTCACAGGGTAGTTATAGCAGCTCAGCACGGGAAGGCTGTAAATTAACTGCATGCAGTCCATCCATCAGGGCAACGTCATGCAGGCGATTATGCTGTTGACACGCACACACCAGTTACCACCTCCCTGAGAAAAGTTGTGTCGCGCTTGCTGTGCACATGCTGCAATGCTGGATAGAACCTTACAAATCCTAGAACACTGAGGCGAGAGACAACCAAACCCCAAGTGCAGAAGACCCTACACACACTGGGGATGATTGTTTCTTGGTATTCAAGAGACTCCTTCCAGATCCTTGGCAGTCACAACCATACAGATGTTTAGACAGGGAAAAATTCTGGAATACTGAAAGCTGCATGGAACCAAGGGCTCTCTCTTCCCCCCATGTCTCTTAATATTGTCTAAAAGTTCTGCAGGAAAATCTGTACTGAGACAATCCAGTATGTTTTAATGACCCTTGTCGTAGATGGAAGGTGTCCAGCGGTGATGCAAGACTGCAGAAGACTCTGAACAGAAAGGGTGTCAAGGGAGCTGGACTTTGGACCTCAGTAAGACTGAACTGGTCATTTAATTTTTTAAATGCATTAAAAACAGAGGAGTAGCAACTTGTGGTCCTCCACCTACATACTTGGAAGTAAAGACATGGGCTGTAACAAAGCATTTTCCATCCCCTTTTGACAGGTTAAAGACTGGAAAGATTAAAAACCCTCCCCTCCCGCAATGCAATGGATTGAAAATGAGCAGCTCTTTCAACATCTGAGTGGATACAATAAATTTTACCCTTGAATGGACAAATATATGGATATTTGGTCTGCCTTGGTGAAGCTTACATATAACTGATGCATTTATATCTATGTGGGTACATGGAGAGATAGACAGATGTAGTTATATATTCCTTAAGATTTTGTAATACCTTGTTTTAGTGAAATTCACAATGAAAAGAATTAAGAAGAGGTTCTGGTTCCAGCCAAATCTCAGCATTAACTCCAATGGGAGCATTAGGCCGTAACATCTGGATGGCCACAAGCTTCCCACCCCAGGCCACCCTAAGTTACTGGGGACGGCTGCATAGCACAGCTGTCCTTGCCCTTTCACTGGCTGCTCCAGGCATGCTCCATTCACCTTGTGTGGGCGCCTCCAGGGCCTCCGGGGATGCAGCGGCAGGCGGGACACCCTGCTCTGGCACCTCTGCGGGCTCCTCCTCCTCCTCTGCCTCCTCCTCCTCTGCCTCCTCCTCCTCTGCCTCCTCCTCCTCTGCTTCCTCCTCCTCTGCTTCCTCCTCCTCCTCCTGCTGCTCCGGCTCCTCTGCTTCAGCAGGAGTGGCGGCCAGTGGGGCCACCACCTCCTCAGCCTTCACTTCCTCAGGCTCAGAGATGGGGCTGACATCTGACACAGGGGGCTCCTCCTCAGGCTCCTCAGGCTCCTGCTTGCCCAGGGCACCCAGTTGGTAAGGCATGGCCAGCTCCTCGGGCTGGGCGATGGGAGACTCCATGGCCAAAGCGGCCTCAGGAGGATGGGCCTCCGGCACAGGCTCCAGCACAGCATCCTCCTCCAGCACTCCATTGGACTCCACCGGCACCTCGGCAGCCTCCTCCAGTGATGGCGGCGGGGTGGGGGGAGCACCTAGCAGCAGGACAGGAAGCTCCTCGGGCGGGGGAGTCTCCTGCAGGGCAGTCACAGGCTCCGCCGGCACCTCCTCTTCCTCCGTCGGCATTTCTGGCTGGGAAGGAAGCTCCAGAATTGGGCTAGCAGCTGCCTCCTCCCGCGACTCTGTGTCCACGACGGGGGCTTCCTGGGGGAGCATGGGCCCCCCTGGCACTGTAGTGGTGGTGCTAGTGGGTTCAAGGATATCGGTGGGGACCTCCGGCAGCTCCTCTGTAGTGTCCACTTCCTCGGGGCTCTCTGGATGGGCCAGCGCCACAGCGGCTGGCAGCACCGGCTCTGCCTCCGGTATGAGGGGTGGCGGGGGAGACGGGGACGCCGATTTACTGGTCTCCAAGGAAACGGGGTTCGTTAGAACCGGGCCAGCTTTTGGGCGATCGTCTGCAAAAGGGAGGAGATGGCATATTAAGGACTGAGGTGCATGGGCAGAAAGCAACTGTGATCGCCAGCCTTTAAAGAAGGGGTGCAGACCCTCTGGCCAGGGGGCCAAATCTGGCCCTCTGGGATTGCCCAGGAGACCTCAGCCTTTCCCTCTGCCCCACCTCTTCCTCCATCACCAATTGTCTAGTGGCTTCCCAGCTTTGGTGTAGTTATTCGGCTATTCCAAAAGGTTTAAAATGACTCTCCTGAGGATTCAGGATAAAATATGCTATTTCAGTGAGTCCCCTTTGTGCCCTCTGGTTCTGCCCACCAGGGGATCCCCACACACGCTGCCCAGGCACTTCCAAAAACGAATTTGTTCCCCGGGCAGGAAAGAGGTTCTATACCCCTGGCTTTAAAGTCAGATCATGTGGCTAGTCATCCAGGATCTTCCCTTCCAGGTCAAGAGGACCCAACCAGGTTCCCGTGGATTGGCTGGCAACCTTACTGGACTCACTCTGCAAACTGCTTTGCAAATAGGAGTGGAGAAGCAAATGAAAAACAAGTTATAGAACTATTCCAAGGAAGCCTAAAACATCAGTCTAACTATGGCCATGTCCACAGAATAGGGCGGATTGCGGAAGCAATCATTATCTTCCTTTCTCTTGTTTATGGCTTGAATTCCCAAGAGGAGGAGAAAGATGAACATACAAGATTAAAAGAAGGAAAAAGATGACCTCACATAGAAGAAGCTTTAATCTAATTAAAGATTAGCTTGAGGTGAAAAGGCTGAAGGTTTCAAATGCCACCTCTCTTCCTTCCTTCAAATTTCTCCCTGCTTAGTTCCTGTATCCCTCTGTAATTACACGTAAGCCTCTTCAGGAGTACTTTAAGGAAAGGCAGGGTTCTAATGTATTAAATAAAAACTAAAATGAACATTAAAAACGACACACATGTTCTTTCTTGGTTTATACCTGCTCCCATCCACATCTCCTTCCTGAGTTATCTCTGCTGTATTCAATCGTGCAGCATACGCTCAAGGAGGAGGGCTCTGGCCATTGAGCTACACTGCTGCTTCATAGGTTCTGTGAGTATTTTATGAGGAGGACTCCTCGGCTACCCAAGCACGTCTGAATAATGAAGTTTCATCTTGCTTCTAAGCAAGCTTCCCCCAGCAAGACACCCTCTGGATGTTTTGCATCACAATGCTCAGAATTCCTGCCCACTCGCCATAGTGCATAAACTTTTTGTCCGAAGTTGCCTAGGACTGTGGCAAGTCAAGCCATAAACGTCACATGCAGCTAAACAGCCGATCTTCTCCTAGAACGGCCGCCTATTGCTTCCCACTCAGCTTCAGGCTTGTTGTCCTTTGGGAGACCCTGCCTCCTAGTGGCCAGAGAGGAGAACACATGTTCCCGGGAGCTATTATCAGACTATGGGAACTCACAAATTCCTGAAACCATAATAGAATCTGCTTTGGGAAATACTGAACGTAAGAGGAACCTGCACCCTAATGAGTCACTCTAGCCTTCGTTAGGAAGGAAAAATGTGGACCCACTTCAAAGGATCCTCTTTTTAGTGCCCGATTATGCCAAGCCAGAATCATAACAGCCCTGGCACACAAAGAACTCTGCTGTGAACTTTCAGTCCCAGGGGTAAAATAAAATATTAACCCACCAATGAAGCAAAATACAGCTCGTAACAGTGATAAAGGAGGCACAAGGAGAGAGAGATGGCCTGATGAGCGAGATCTCCTGAAAGCTCTGAAGGCTGATGCCTTCATTGGAAGTAGTAACAGACAGAACCCCAAATCAGGAAGGTTTTTATTCTGCAAGTCAAGATTCTGAATGAACTAAAATTCGGTAGGAAGAAGTAAAATCTCAGACAGCATTAGGAATACAAGTATGAGATTCATTACTGAAATTGTTCTGCAACTGTTTTCAGTCTTTTATTTTTGCTATTTAGGAATCCCATTAGAAATGGGGGGGATGGGAGCACAGCACAGCACCATGCTGGCGATCCCTGGGGGATACAAACATATTCTACAACACAGCAACAAAACCCACAGTTGTGAGGAACCTCAGTCATGGGACACAAATCTGGTCCTCCAAAACTCCCCAGGGGCCCCCATCTCCTCCTCCTCCTCCTCCTCCTGGCTCCACCATCGTTCTCCCAAGCCCTGATTATCTAACATTTGCCTTGTGTCTGTGAAGTTTCTCCCCTATTGCAAAAGACTGAAATGCTTTTCCTAAGGCTTATTTGCAGGCAGTAGGAGTTTTAAGCTACAACACATTGGTCTTTCTACTTCACCCACCACTGGAATGTGACCACTGAAAGTTCTCTGCATGTACACACTGCCCAGGCCTGACATACAGGCCCACAGGCTTTATCTGCTCATAACAAAATGGCGCAACGCAAATAATATTTTGCTCAGTTTTCTGGAAGTCCCAATGCTCATGCAAAGCTTTACAAGGAAAGAATGGATGCTGCATGGGGTTTTCAAGAGTCAAAGTAACTGCCACAGAAGCAGAACAAAACTGGCAACGTGAGGCCACTCTGCTAGCCCAGATGTTTAATTTTTTTAAGCTAAACTGATGCGAGTTTGAAATCTGAATGCCAGTTGGCTTCACTCCAACAAACAAACAAAATTGTGTGCCATTAAGAAAGACTGAACAGAGCCATTTGTAAGGCAAAATACTAGATGTATAAGCATTTTCAGATAGGTTGCATAATCATTTGTTCAAGCCTCACCCACTGACAAATCAGGTTTGCACCCAGACTAGGGACTTCCCCATCCCTGGCTGCCGGTTCAAACTAAGCAACACAGATAGAGGAATGGAGATAAAGATCTTAAACTCAGGATGCTGAATTTTGTGTGGGGCCAAGCTCTCCATCACATCTCCTCCGTGGAGAAGGAACTCTTACTGGCCCAGCCCCTCATTGGTCATTTCCTTGAATTCTATCCACATCACACTAACTGGACAGAGGGAGGGGAGAATTATCCCTCACTCTACCCAATTTTAGCCAAACCCAGTTCTCTATCAGATTTTGTACCTGGCCGGACAATGACAGCTACATGTGGTGTCTCTCCATTGGCCTGCGGCTCTGGACCACTTCCAGCCTGTGAAAACAGACAAGTAATAAGGGTTAAGGAATGCCCAGGGAGGTGAAGAGAGCCCCACCATCACCACCACCTGTACCACGTTCCTTGATGCTATCCAGTTACATCCCTGAGGTGCCCAAGGGTGTTCACCTCTGTGAGTGCATGTTTGCATCTGATAAGCATCTTCATCTGTATGTGGCACACAGGGAAAGGCACAACCTCCTCCTTTTGCGGTGCATGAAAGGCTCAAAAGACACCAGGGCAGCTGCAGGACTGCCTCCACTGCTGCGCCTTTGAGGCAGCCTAAGCACCTCTAGATCGCAATGTCACAACACTGAGAAGCCACAGTGCCTGCCCTCACACCCCAGTCTCAGGAGGTGACCTGGGGCGAGACCAAAGTCTGGGTTGCCACTGTAGCCAGCCAGAATTTGGGAGGCCCTGTGCATCACCCACTGCAATGCAAACTCCTTCATAAAGGAAAGGGTGTATAGTGAAATCCTTTTGCCTCTTCTGAATTCATGAAGAAATGCTCTGCCTCTAAGCAAGCTTGCTCGCTTGCTTGCTTGTCTGGAGTTTTTATACGCCGTCCCATCGCTTAACGCCTCAGGATGGCTTACATAAATAAACATAAATAGACAACATAGTGCCCAATACAAATACAAAAAATACAAATTACACAAATTAAAAACCCTGATTCATTCTGCCTGGAAGTTAAAACCTATAGATAATATTAACCGTTAAAATATTGTTTAAATAAAAAGGTCTTAGCTTGGTGCTGAAAAACAAATAATGACGGCACCAGGCGGACCTCTCTGGGGAGCGCATTCCATAGATGGGGCGCCACTGCAGAGAAATCCCTCCTCCGGGTACTTTGCCTCCTGATGTCTTTCATGGAGGGTTCCCGGAGCAGGGCCTCTGCCGCCAATCTCAAGGGGCAGGAGGGCAAATATCAGACTTATCAGACTGCCTCTAGACTCTGCCTGCACCACCAGCTTAATAAAGTTTATTTGCAAGCTTCTATCACAAAATGGGGGGACGGACCCTGTTTTCCCCCCAAAATGTCCACTTTCCCCATTAGATCCTTTGTACTGATTTAGAATATTGGTTTGATTATCCATTGTACAGTTTAAAGGTCATATGTTACTTTCCATATTGCAACCAACAGTTAAGGGATCGATGTTTCAACATTTAGGAAAATAAAGATGTGTGTCACCATCAGCAGCCCCCTCCTGTCACCCTCCAGCTCTAATAAAGCATTTCACAGCAGCACAGAAAAGCAGAGTTGGACGGGGCCTACACGGCCACTGCGTCCACCACCTCCCTAGGTCACGGGCTCCATCATGGTACTGCTCTTAACATTCAGGAAGTTTTTCCTGATGCCCAACCAGAACCGGGGCACTTATTCTGTGCCCTGCAGTCTGGGTGACTGAGACGAGGTCCTGGCCCTCCCCTGTATGGCAGCCTCTCAAGCAGCTTATCTCCCCTCAGCCACTCAATTCAACTCCCACCCGGCCCTAAGCAATTTTAGAGCCTACCTGAAGTCATGGCCCCTACCTCTGCAAGGAAAGAGTCCTCAGGAAAGGAGGGGCCAATTCAAGCCTCCCCTGCTTTCTTCAGGGGATGCAGTCCAACCACCTCCAGGAGTACAACCATGCTGAGGACTTAATGCAGCTTTCCCCCAGCAGATGCTCTCAAGATTTTTTGTATTACAATCCCCAGCATTCCTGACCATTGTCCACACAGACTGAGGCTGATGGGAATCAAAGTCCACAGCATGATGTTTGGGGTGCTCTGATCGACCCACCACATACAGGCTCAGCCTCTTTCCATTTTGGAATTCATTTCTGCAAATGCCATGGCTTAAAAACACAAGCAGACCAATTCTACCCAGGAGGTTCACACGGCAACATGCATGTACCCATGAAAGAGACAGGTCCAGGTTTGGGGATGCTCGGAAGAGAGACATTTTACAAAATGTCTGAACCGACCGCAAGATCACGCAGAGAGAAGGGACTAGTAAAGCGCTCTTTGCAGGGAAAATTACAGAGCAACACCCAAAGACTAACCTACAAAGCACTTCAATCTATATCAGGTGTTGAGGGCACAGAACTCGGCCAGCTTCCAAAGTTAAAACCTCACCACCGCACAAGTAGCTGCAGCCTGTCCCTGGAGTGTAACCCCTGCCCGACCTGCTTGGGGAAAGGCCAGCATGAGCCAACCAAATGCCGGATTTCAAGCTCCTGGCACCACAAGCCACAGGAATGGCACTATTATATTCCCTCACGAGCTTCACTGAAAGGATGGGGCACAACTGCTCATGGGGAACTGGCTGTGTGGACTGCCCCACAATCCTCATCTTTGAACGAACAGAAAAAGTGGGGCATGACCAGAGTATGAGGGACTCCTTAGCAGAAGAGGATGAAGAACGTAGCAGAGGCAGTGGAGTATTTCTTACCTGTGGAGGAGTGGGGGTAGAGGAAGTTCTAGCACCAGACATTATTTCCTCTGTGATATCCTTGCCACCTTGATTTGGATCTCGTATTCGGATCTGTCAGGCCGTGAAAGAAGAGAAAAACTTGATGTAAGCAGGGCTAACAAAAGTTTTCCAGACGCAGGGCACTGTCACTTTCCTTCAGCTACTGAATGCTGTTGAATGCTAAAGCACTACTTGCTTGCCACCCTCAACGTGAGCAAAGAGATGCCTGCAGGACACATTGCATGCAGGTGGGATAGAGGCACAAAATGGGACCAGCCCTATGGGAACAGTGCACAAGCAGACCACCCTTTTCCCAACAGTGGCCAGCTGGATGCCACGAGGAAACTCACAAGCAAGGTACAGAGGAATGAGCTGTTTCCAGTTTGTCTCTGGCCCTTGAAGATACCCTGTCTCAAAATACAGACATTCCATTTAGCTCTGTATAGCTATCCCATTAAGCAGGACCAAGCTGGAGCGACAAAAGATCTCTCGAGTCAAGCATGCTGCTTCCACAGCAGTCCATAGGAAACCTACAAGCAGGACGCAATTGCAGCACCTCCTTCTGGTTCATGTTCCTCAGTAACTGTCGCTGAGGAATACCGCCTCTGATGTCGGGGTGAACAGACACCCATCGCGGCTAGCAGAGGCAGCTTTATCTCCCATGAATCTGTCTACTGAGAAACCCAACCTCCATGCATCCACCTAATTCTGTTTTATAGGCAACCCCACCCCTTGCGGACCCATGGTCCAGCAGAGCTCTTACAGGAGCTGGGAACCTCAGAGGCAATGAGCAGAGAATCAGCCTGTCCAGCTGCCGATGGTCCACGTGGAGGCCTGAACAAAACCGACAACAACGTGTGCTTGGCAAGGACCTCACACCATCCATGACAGGGGGCCAACCTCGCTCAAGTCAGCTGCCATGTTGTTTAAAGCTTGGCACGCTTCCCAGGCTCTCCGGCCCTACCACAGGGCTGAGGCCAGGAGGAAGCCGACTCCTCCTCCTGGCCCTGCGCGCCCAGGGTGGGTGGCTGCAGGAGGGAGCAAAGGGGAGACAGATCCTTAGCAGCCACCGATGAGGTCACAAGCAAGCTCTGTTTGCCAGGTCTGGACACAGCAGCTGAGTGAGCAAAGGCACAGCTCAAGCAGGCAGCCCCCTCCCAGGATGCGAGGGCTTGCAACTGAGGCGGAGGCCCACTGCACCTTGAGAAAAACAAGCTGGGCGTCAGAGGAGAACACAACACGAAGCCTTCCCTCTGCACCCCCTCCCTCATGGGACAGCACTCCCCCCGCAACTATCTTTCCCAATAGGACAGTCCATGCTTCTGAGGTATCCTGGACCATGTCACAATGCTCTGGGAAATGCACTCACTCATTGGCTAGCTCCACGCTTAAGAGGGGTACCTGTATCAGGCCCTCGGGATGTATTAATGTTTGGTCCTCCTCTTGCTACAAGCTAATCTCCACCAGTGCCACCCAGCAGTTGATGTCTGTAAAGCAATCAGTGTGAAAGCTACTGCGAAAATGCTGTAGCTCAGAGGCAGAGCACGTGTTTTACATACATAAGACCCCTAATTCAGTCCCTGATCCCTTGGAAGGCAAGCCTGGAAGGTCTCTGGCTTGAGACACCGAAGTGCCACAACAAGGCAGGTGCACAATACTGAGTTCATGTGACCCACGGACTCACTGGAATACCACTTTAAATAGACTCATCCTTCTACTGAAGACCTAAAATGCACAAAATGTCTCGCCTGTGCTATTTAAATCAAGCATGATGGATATTTTTTAGCACTGGGGCCACATTTGCTGGTGGCTCATCATCTGCAGTCACCAAACCACCCGTGGAAAGGGACAAGGCAAACAGCAGGTAATGCCACCTCACTGTCTCACAAGCAAGCACGCAAGAGAAAACACAACCTTCTTTCAAGTTTCACAGGCAAACTGGTGGAATTAAAAAATAACCCTACCTCCTTCCCAGGGTGGCTTCCAAAGACGGCACTGGCTGCCCCTTGACCTCTCACAGTTGCCCATCCTTGACCTAAAGAGATTCTTCAGGTACGGGGGCAATGTAAAACTGCGAACTTGTTTGAACAGGAATGACTGCCATCTTCCTGTCCTGCCTCGTGAGCTTCTATCTGGAGAAGGACCAGGTGGACCTCAAGTCTGACTGAGCAAGAACAGTAAATGAAGCCCGTGGATGCCAGTGTAACTGAAGCAGGAGTGTTGGACCTCTTTCATCCCAGGGGCCACGTTCTGTTTCAGGGAAGCTCTGCAAGGCCACATTCCAGTGGGGGTGGGGCCAAAAGTAAAAGAGGTGTGGCTAAAATCCCCCCCCCCCTTTTTAAAGTTTACAGCTCTTCCTACAGGCAACTAAACGTTAAGAGAAGCATTGCAACTTTTTAGAAGGGTAAAGAACATCCCAAAAGCTGGTGGGAAACCAGCAATGGATGCCTGAGGGGGAGGTGGTGGGGCTTAGTATGGCCATATGGAGGAAACCAAGAGGCTAAACAGGGACCTGGGTGGGCCAGATTTTGGGTTCTGCCACCCCTGCATTATGCACGCTCTGTAGAAATCATTTCAAGTTAATTCACAGAGGATGCATCTCCACTGATCGCTCACCAGCCTATCAGCCAAATCTTTACTCCAAAAGACCTTTCTTTGGAGGAACAGTATTTAATGCTGGGGCACACATGTCACGTACAAAGGGACAAGCCTCAACTGCAGGCATCTCCAGTTAGAAAAGGGCAGGTGAGGGGGAAACAGGTAAGGTATTTTGGCCGACATCTTCCCTCAGTCCCCACCATTAGCTATACTGATAGGGGCTACTGACAAAAACTCCTGGAGGGACACCAGATGCCCTGCCCTGATGAAGACACTACCAGGACAAATGGACTAAACTGAAGTGAGGCAGATTCCTAGGAATGTGGGAATGGGAGGAAAACTTCCCAGTCTATTTAGCCAGCTGTAGAAAGAGAAGAAACCAGCCCTTGCTTCCACCTGAGTTTACAAAAGGATGCAGCTGGGAAACACACCGGGGACATGTCCAGTCGAGCAGGAGTTCCTCCCTCCCTCCCTTCAAATCCTTCCCTTTCCATGAAATGAAGATTTCTTCAAGTGGCAGGCACTGTTGGCTCTTCTCCGCTTTTGTCTGCCCTCTCTGCTGTCAAAATAGCAACTGCAATCCTTTTTGGGTAGACTCGCTTGCTTATTCAACCCAACCAAGTGCCACGAGCGATGCGAGCTTGTATAAATAGCCTCTAAACCCCCACACAGCCTAATGAGCTGTTCCCCATCAAACAAGAGGCCAGTGGCCCGGTGAAGATCCCCTCCTGGTAGCATGGAGCCTTCTGAGGCTGAAAGGGCCGTCAGCACGCCAAGCCCCGGCTCCTCATTTCCCTGCACAACAGCAGATCCGGTTTCAGCTCACACTCCCACCCGCACGGCGGACGTGCTCAGCTCTGCAGCGCAGTCGCACGCTCCGCCACAGGGATGTTTTCCAACCCACGGCTCCCTCTTTCCAGAGGGCTCCAGGCAGCGAATGCATAAAACGGCAATAGAAACAAGCACGGCTAAAGTATGAATGAAAGCAGAAGCTTGGCTGTATCAGCCACATGAGCAAGATGACTCAGCACGAACGAGACACTTCACTCAGCTTTCCATCCTCCTCACATCGAGCCGAGCCGGCTGACAAAAGGTGGAGAGGCGTGATTTTTCCTGATCTTCAAGCGAGAGCAGTGGCCACCACCCAACCCTAATGAGGCTGGCGGCAGCGGGAGAGCAGGGCCGGCAGCCTCCTCCAGTCTGCAGAATGTGTTCCCTGTACCATTTTTTAGCACCAGGCTAAGGTCTTACACATCTTGACACAGAAAGTCCTACAGAGAAATAACAGGACTTGTAAGAACTACTTCTGCCTAAATAGGCATAGGATTGTGCCCTAAAATTTCCTTTTATTTACCGAAGACTTCAAAGAATTTTTATCCTGAAACTGACTGGATCCCTCTGAACACCACTTGCCGGGGAACAAGTGGAGGGGCTACCAGGCTCATTTACTGTTTGGGGGCTTCTTAAATCTATCTAGTTGTCCTCTCTAAGGACTAGGATCCTGTACAAGACAGGCCACTGATCTGATCCAGCAGAGTTGTGCGAATTTTCTCTTGACCAAGGGAGAGGCTTCCCTAGCATCCTGCTGCAAAATCACATGGAAGTTCAACAAATTATGAGGCCCAGCAAAAGCTAAAAGAAGCTCAACAAGACCACCATGAGTATGGCAGCCTTCCTGTTTGTTCATTTTTAAGTCCCTGTATCAAGTACTTGACTTGCATCGCCTCTGCAGAAAGAACGGCCTTCCACTACTCAGTGGTGGGAGCTGTGATCCAATCTGCCTTTGGGGGACCAGCTGGAAAAGGCTGGCAAGAGGATTTCTCCTGCCAACAAACCCACCCACCATAGTGCATACGCCTAATTCTTTCATGAAACCAGCTAAGTTAGTGGCTCTCACTGTATCTTGTGTTGGTGAGTTCCACAACTTAAATCACACACTCCTGTTTGTCAACCAAACTTCATTTCTCCTCAGAAAGTTACCAGCCAATCACAACTCTCTGAGATTCAGATTCTGATTCTGCCCAGCTTTGCCCACCCTCTAGAAGGCTGGGGATTATGGTGGTTGTAGTCCACATCAGGTTGGAGAAGACGGTTTCTGTCCATCAGACTTTTTATCCATTTAGAGAAGGAAGGAAGGAAGCTCGGGAAATCTGTGAAGTGCCTCTAAATTAAAAGGTTTCCTAGCAATTTAGGATGATGTTCCACTGTCAGAAAAAGCGCGGTACAGAAGCTGCATGATTATGGAGCAGCAACTCCAAACACCTAAGGATCTGGGAGGAGTCAGGGTGAATCTAAGGGCTATTTAGCTATTTTTGGTGGTGGTGGGAGTTACCAGAAGCAGCAGCAGTTGCTATCTACCATTATTTTTCCCAAGGATTTTTGAAATGCTGTTGTTGCAATGCTATGGCAATCCTTCCCATGGCTACTGGATGCTGCTTCCCTCCTGCCAGCCCCATCCTGGAATACCTCTACCACAATAAAGCATTTTACCAGGGGACATGGGTGGCCTCTAGTGGGGTGGGGGCATGATTTTCTCCTCCACAAGCCTCTTCTAATGGTGCTGCTTCCTACCTTTCCAGAGGCATTTGGAGGAGAGTAAAAGGAAGCCAGGGTTCCCTGCCAGCAGTCTCCCGGAAAAGTGCCAGCAGCAGATGAAAATCAAACAGGTTGCCAACCGGCGGCGTTTGTGGCCACTCCCAACACCAGCTACCCCTCACCCTAAACCACTTGCCTCCCATAAAAATCATCCAAAGGGATTCCCACACAGCACAGACAATTCTAGGAAATACAGAAAAGCTCACCCAATAACTGGCCAAGCCTGCTAGTCCTCCTTGTCAGCTTGTGCATGAACACAAGAGCATAAAATAGGTTTCCTTACACTGAGTCAGACTGTGGTCCATCTAGCCCTGTATCGTCAACACTGACTGGCAGCAAGTCCATGACACTCCAGGGTTGCAATTAGTCTCTCTGAAAAGCCAGAGATGGAATCTGGGACCTCCTGTGTGTGCGGCAGGTGCCCCACCACAGAGCCACGGCAGCAGATGTGTGTGGCCAGGGAAACACCCACCACCCCCTCACCTCTGCAGTCTGCAAGCAAAGTCCAACTGCGGTGGATGAGCCATCCTTCCGTGAAGGTTATCTCCCATCTTCCCACTGAAAAGCACACTAACTGCCCAACAGCCCCAGGGTGACCTAGAGCAACATTTTGAAATGATCTGCTCCAAAAAGCGAGTGGTTGTGCAAGGCAGAAGGGCCCTGATGAATCACAAAGGGAACGACTTCTGCAATTAGCCTTAATCACAGGTCACGCAGCAGCGCCACCTCCACAGCCAGGAGCTTGCACACCCTCCCATGCACGCACGCACGCGCTCTGCTGATGCTACAATGCTCGTTTGGGGAGACGCCCTGCAAAAGTCATTAATGGATCTGCTCAGAGTGCAAACAGTCTCCAAGGGGGCTTCTAAGCAGAGCTACGCTGAGCTTCCCTCACTCGCCACGAGGACAAAGCATTCTCGCCACCTGACATACGTGTGGCCTGCAGAGGCACCTCCCCACACAACAACAAACAGAGCCGCCAGCACCTCTGGCCGGCACACGACCGTAGCCTGACAGCTGATGAAACCAACTCTGCTCTCCAGCCATCAATCCAAAATAAACACTGCTTCCAAAGTCTATGTTTAATAGCTAACCTGAAGCATCTCTGCACTCCACTCGTAAACCTAGATTATGGGGAGAGGGAGGTGAAATGAAGAAAGACCACTGCTGTACCAGGTTCGCTTTTACAAACTACCAAAGAATGGCCAGTGCCCGGGAAAAGGGATTCTCATCTCTTCGGTGCAGTCCTAGCACTGAGCCACAGCCAGGGTCTTGTAAATCATGCAGCCACACCAGGGACCCACGCCCCCCAGCCTGCTGCAAGGGCCGAACGTATGTCTCCCAGAAGAGTCCACATGGCACCCAGCCCTGCTCCAAAGAACTCCGAAAGGGGCAGAAGCCAGAGAGGGACTTGGGGGCATGTGCTTCCGCCCCCAGGCACACAGAATGCAACTTCTGAACCAGGAGAAGCCACCTTAATTTAGATGTACAGTCTCTGCACCTCCCAGTCCAGCTGTTATGTTCTGCGTCAGGTGGAGTAGGAAAGGTGGAGGCCAAGCCCCATTCCTTATCTTACTGCGGAGGGAATGCTGACATCTGAGCATGAATTACAGCCACAGACGGACATGCTGCAATATTATCATCCTTCTATAATTACTAGTGACACCAGCGTGGCCTTGGCAGGGTCCCAGATCCATCAGTCATGCCTTTACTTGATTCTTCATTGTTGCATCTTCTGTGCAGCTATTTTGCTCCTTACAACAAATCCAATTCAAAAACCAGAACAACAAAAAATGCATCACCCTGACGTCAAAAGATCTAATACTGGTCATGTTAGAAACTGCCAAAAAGCAGCACTGCAGCAAGCTCCGTTTTCAGCAGCTGAAAGGCCAATTAAAATAAAAGAAAATCACAGCGTTACCCAAATAGGTGTCAGAATAATTCTTTTAGCATTCTCAAAAAAGAAAAAAATAAAGGTAGTGTCACAGGCCATATCTGATGAGTAAGTTCCATGTCCAGGAAGCCACTACCAAAAAGGCCCTGCCCCTTACCCCAACCACCTAGCCTAAGAAAAAAGGGAGTCTCAGAAGTGCAGGGAGAGGTTCACAGTGGGAGAGGCTCCACCAAATGTTATGCTGGAACCAGCCCTTTCCTTGGCAAACAGAAGCCCCCATTTGTTGACTGGTCTCACCTGGTTCTTCTTCAGAACTAAATCATGTAGAAGCCCCTGTCACTTCACAACAAGAACTGTGGAAACTGGGGCCCTGTAAAGCTTTTAGCACACACTCACAAAGCCTCTGTCCGCACTGAGCTCCAGCCTGTTTCCATGGGCAATTCATGCAGCTGGACTCTTGCACTTGCTGAACTATGACCCGCATTGCTACATCCTCCTTGCCCGGCAATCACACAGACATGCCTCCTTGTCCTTCCAAGCCTGCACAGGAAGCTTCCAAGGCAAGGCAAGCAGCTATGTTCGTCGATACTTAACAGTTGTCTACACAGCTAGGAGAACAGCAACCGCCTTGGGCCGAGGCATGATGTTAAAATATGCACTGAGAGCAGTACAGCAGATGGAAGCGGAAAGCTTTGCACACAGAGGCAGAAACAACAGCACGGAAGAGAGGCGGGGCAGGTTAGCCAGGCCTCTAAAGCCCAGCACTTTTTAAAATGTCGGCTGGGTCTCTTCCTGCAGAAACAGACAGTTGCCAAGAGAATCTTCCTGTCCCTGCCTGTGCCCGTGTTGGTTGGGTCAGGAGACATGGCACCAACCAGAGTTAATCTGAGCCAGGGCATCTGGAACGTATTGCTAACATCAGGAAGTAAATGCCAGAATGCATGAAGCGGCAGATGGAATGGCTCCCTGGCAGAATCACCTGTGACACGGGCTGATTCCAAGCCAGTCCACTGGCCCATGTAACTTGGTATGGCGTACTGTGACTGGCAGTGGCTCTCCAGGCTGGAGGTTTTTCCAGCACTGCCGGATGAAGTCTTTCAAACTGGAAAGTCCAAGACTAAAGCATGCATTCTGCCATGCAGCTGTGGTCATTTTCTTCAGAGAACCCAACCCGCCTTAACCTGAACAATCAACAGATGCATGTACTTCCTATAGGAATGATCCAAGACCTGGGGCAATCAAGGTAGTTGTCACAAGCTGCTCGACTCTCTAAGCCCCCTCTTATCGGATGTTTAAGGCCACAACTCCACAACACTTACCTGAGAGCAAGTCTCGCTGAACTAAGCAGGACTTACTCATACATGCGTAAGATCACAAAGTCCCACACATATATGCTTCCCCCACCCCCTACTTTAAGCCACTTCCCCTAGAGCAGGGGGTAGGCAGCCTGGTTTGGACTAAAATTCTCATAAGACCCTTTCAACATGCAGCACAGACAGGGATTATGGGAGTTGTATTCCAGACCATCTGAGGGAATATCAGGTTGTCTATCCCTGCTGTAGAATATGAATGCATAAGCACAGCTGAAAAATATTATCTGAATTTTAGATGACAGAATCAAATATGTAAGTTCCTAGAAAACCACTATTTTCTTTCTGGGATTTTCTTCCAGCTTCACACAAAGACTAGTGGGGTCAGTGTCAGGTCTATTATGAGACCTAAAACCAACCAATGCATCAGGAAGGGCAGGCAGGAGAGGTTCTGTACAAAAGTTTCAAAGTCCCACCCAGCAACTGCCCCACAGCTTCTGCCTTACCGTCTTGCGTTCTCGCTTTTGCGGAATTGTTGTCTGTTGATTCATCATAACCTGGGCAGCTGGGAACTGCTGCACACTCTGGGCAGGATAATAGGCACCAGCTGAGGAAGAAGAAGGGAAGTTAAGGTACTGCACTCCCAGAATCCCAAGGGGCAGAAAACCATGCTTGTAAAAGTCTAAGCTTTGGGGAACTTTAAGAATAAACCACAGAGCAGGAGCCCCAAACAGCAAAGCTAGGGGCCCCTTCCAGTGTGAGAAATGTTCCTTTAGCTAACATAAAGCAGACCAAGAGTGACCCCCACTTCCCCCCAGCACACAATCCCAACTGGCGTACTAGCAACTCCCAAAAGAGACAGGAACCACATTTGCCTGCAGCCCTGGTATGGAATCTCAAAAACCTGAACCAACAGGTTCAAACAAGCAACACCTCAGCATTCTTTCTCCATGATACAAAGCGTCTCTAAGTCACCCCACTTCCCCACCAGAGGCAACCCCTATTTTGAGGTTCTGACACCCTGCCTCAATTCAGATCAGAGCATGCCAAACAGCCTCGCTGGTGGCTTGTAAAAGCAACCACCTCATTTCGTTAGAAGCAGGGAAGGAGGAAAAAAAATTCCATGGCTGTGGACTCCAGCAACGTTTTCCAAAATAGCACGGAGCACCTTCCTTATTCTCCCTCAAATCCTGTCCAATCCAGCCAAATTAATGGAAAGGATGCAACTATTTTGCAAGTGCAAAATAAGGCATTCCCTTCCTTTCCAGGTCCCATGCCCTTGTCTTCCCACTCACACCCCCAGTCCTCCTATAGGGGCAGATAAGCAACACTGTTCCGCGTCTAAGCCTTTGGGAGCCAAAAACCCCCATGGTCAGGGAGGGGCGAGCACAGTCCAGACACTTGTGCAGGGCCAATCATGCTAGCCTGCAGGTGTTTTGTACTACAGCTCCCATTATCATTGGCTATGCTGGCTGAAGGTGATGGGAGTTGTAAACCACACCAATTGGATGGGCCCAGGTTGAGGAAGAGTGCTCTAGAGAAGATGCTCTGAGTTTGCCATCTCCAATGGCACCCTGAAAGACTAACTGGTTATTCTAGCCCAGGATGGATAGAAGCATTTGTGGCAAACAGCCTCTAGTAAAGCATAGAGTCTTGCTGAACTCTGGGGTCCCGCTTTATACAGTGGCCAGTCAGGTGTCTCTAGGAACGCCAGGAAAGCAACCACACTCTTCTACTCACGGTCTCCAGCAACTGGCATTTCTTACATCTGAAAGCCACGTAGCTACTCGAGTCAATAGCCATTCACAGACAAATGTTCTTCCCTTTTACAGTCGTCTAAGCTACTTGCCATAGCCACATCTTGTGGCTGTACATTCCATAGATTACTCATGGGCTGTGTGAAGAACCCAGCACTGAGAGGACCTGATGGAGCACATGTGGTCAGAGAAGCTCTGGGCAGGAATGGGGAACCACATGCTTTGGGCAGGTGCACTGGGAAGGGTGAAGATCCTGCCAAACTGCAAAGCCACAGAAGGTTCCCAAACAGGACCTGGACACAGGCACAGAGCACTTATGTGAGACACAAAACCTCCACGCAGAGGAACTAAACACTGTGGGAAGTAGCAGAGATCTCCCCAAGTTCTGCTTCCAGCTTTTTCACACATCTGAATCCTACAAAAGGGAAACAGCAGAAGCCAAATGCTTGGCCTGGTTGACCACTGGAAGGCAGTTCTGTAAGCTGCAATAGACCTAAGATTATCCTTGACAGCAACACCCAGAGACAGTGATGAACAAAGTTCAGAGAGCAGTGCAGGCAGCCATGAAACTAGACTACGCCTTGGTCAGAGCTTTGCCACCCACTGGAAGACTGCCTTTAACTGACCCTGCGAGAAAAACATGATGTTGCAAGCACAGAAGATTCTAGCCTTCTTGCGTTTCTCACATTCAGAAATGTAAGAAGTTACTGCAGGAGGAGTCAGGCCCCTGGTCCATCCAGTCCAGTACGGTTGACACTAAATGGAAGCAGCTCTCTCGGTTTTTTCTGTCCTACCTGGAGAAGGTGGGGAACAAACCTGGGGCTTCTGCTATTGAGCATGGCCCACTTTCCTAGGCGGTGGGCACTCAGACTGGACAGAATGCAATCCAGGCAAATCTGGGTGAAGTTGAACTTAAGACACCCAATGCTAGAGCACCCGGAGACCACCTATACCTTCCCCAGCTTTTCCACACACTCGTCACAGCTAACTGTCCCATTTGCAAGCGCTCTGCAAGTGAAAGCAAGTTTTAAAGCCGTTCAAATGCCCACAGTTTTCTGACACAAAATGGAGGCTGTAGGATCACCCTGGCACAAACAACTGTAGACATGGCTTCCCTCCAGGTAAGCTGAATCAGGTACAGCCAGCAACCTACCAGAAGTTAAAACCTGGAAAGAGGAAGGGAGATGAAAGGGGGGTGGGGGAGAGAGAGCAGCAAGTGCCAAGGTGCGTGTCCTGCTGCCTCCCTGCCACAGCTAAGGCAGCACTCACACGATCCCTGTTCTTCACAGACAGAAGCCCAGCACAGGCTGTTTGGTGCTTTCTAGAGGGAAGCAGGGCTACAAGCAAGCATGAGTGACCAAGGAAGAAAAGAAGCCAAGCTGCTCAGAAGGCCCCTGTGAGCCCCCATTTGGGCTGCACCACACAGAGGAGGCTTTTGGCACTCCCGACTTCAGGAATTCCACATATTCCTCCTCTAAGCAGCTAAGCTCCAGCCCCACAGCCTGTGTCAGACCTTAGAATAGGAAAAAAAATCACGAACTGTTGCACGGACTGGTCCAGCCCGTTCTGAGCACATGCGGGCAGCATACTGATGATGCTGAGTCATCTGGCCTAGTAAACTTTATGGGTGGGGAGAGCAGTGCGGCACCTTCACACACTGACAGCCACCCCTCCCCTGGCGCATGGCAAGGTCTGAACATGACGCAGGCCGTCTGAACAGGCTGAAAGCAAGGAAAGGGACGCTGCCGCAGCCGGCAACCCGGAAGGCCTGCTGGGCAGCAGGGTACCGCTCGCCTTTCACGGCTCTGAAAGGGACAACGGCTGCTGCACTGCATCTTGATGTGCTGGTATTAAGACACACTCCCCCGCTTGCAAGCCTCTCCCCAGGACCCCATCCTACAATTCTGGTGTGCACAAGACAAGCCCAGTCAGCACGCCAGGCTCAGCCTGCTTCTGGAAAGGCCAAATGCACCTACCTTTCTGAAAGGGGTGTGGGCAGATGCTTTCGGCTGTGGTGGCAGGAAAGAAACAGTGACATGCAGAACTGGGACGGGATGGGGGCCTCGGCTCACATTTCTAAGTCTGCAGGAGCTGCCTGGGCCAGGGCCAGGCTAAATATAGTGATAGTCCTCAGTGAGCATGTGAGCACCGTGTGAGAAGGGGAGGGAAGGGGGGGGAGGAGGAGGAGGACCAAAACCCCAGGGAACTCAGACACCAAAGAGCTTTGGGGAAATATTAAATCCAGGGCAGGGTGAGGAGTGTTTTTCAACACAATTCTGGGCAGAAGTACACTTGGAGGGTGAGCTACTCCCCTTCGGATGCCCACGCAGACCCATCAGCCTACCCCCCCCAAAAAAGAGGGGCATGGAAACCTAGTAGAGGCAACTTAAGGGACAACTGGACGAGGGGCTATCAACAAACCTCCCTTTATTTCCATGCTGCCAGAGCAATCCAAAAACAAGCAAAGGCTAAAGTCTTCCCGGCCTCTGCAAGGTGTTAAACATTAAACTGCCCTCACCAGAAATGACAAAAGAGGAGAGGGAAGTATAGTCCTTAGTCTGCCTAAACGCAGATTCGCTATCTAGAGTTCTCCTATCACAAGTCACTTTGGGAACCTTTGAAGAGCAAGCCAAAAATGCTTTTAAAAAAGGGATGGAGAGGGAATGCAAGCAGTCGTGCAGGAATCGTGCAGTTACCCCTGCAGAGTTTCACAGGAAGACACGTCGGCTAGACTGTCACCCTTGCTGCTTGCCTTTCTCCACTTCCCAGCCAATCCATGGCTTGCAATTCAGTGGATGCCAGTGGCATCTGGTTGGCTACTGTGGGAGCAGAAAGCTGGACCAGATGGGCCTTTCTTCTGATCTTCTTGCATGTTCTTATGCTCTATAATGTTACTGATGGCAAGACATGCACATGAGAAACCACAAGGTTTCCAGGAGCTTCTAGGCCTTACACATCCTGACAATAAATTTTAAAAAGATATGGAAGTATTTCCTAAGCCAGCAGAAGAACTTTGGGGCAAAATATGGACAATGCAGGGGAGAGGGATGCACTAAGCAACTCTAGGCCATGGTGGAACTGAAAAGCAAAGCTGAACCAGCAAGGCTGGCAGGAAAAACATGGAGAGAAGCTCAATCTAGAGAGACTGGCCTGGTTCACCTGTAACAACCCATGGGTCGCTTAACCTTGAGTTATACCACGTGGCTTGTTGTTGGCTTAAAACTCTGGGTTGCTTCTCCTTCAAAATCCCCACAGTTCCCAGTTTTCCTGCCATGCTGAGAACCCAGGAAAGAAGTGTTGATTTTCTACCATGCTCACTTAATTGTTCTTGTGCTGCCCCAACCAACCATGGGTAATTAGGTGGGCATTACATGAGAACAATTCCACATCATCTGGCACAAGTTACACTTTCCACCCACTGGTTTCTCCCCCCTCGTCCAAATGAGTATCTCACCTATTCTGAATTGCCTGATAATCTCCTCTCCAAACTACTTAACACTTTACTCCCAAGTTTGTGGAATGCACCACCTTGAAGGGACATAAGCCAGTGGTGTGCAGGGTTTGGGAGTATCTTAATTGCAAATGTCTACCTCTCAGCAACCTGCCGAAGATATTAAACTGCGTAAGGGTTATATCATTCCAGGAGGCATGTGAGGGTTCCTTGGGCTGAACAGGCCTCCATATGAAACAACAAAACAGAAAACCTGACTATAGAAAGCTAGAATATCAAGCAAAAAGGTGAGGCCAGCTTTCCCGAGCATGGTGCCTTCCAGACTGGACTGGCTGGGGGATGCTGGGAGTTGTAATCCAACATATGGAAGGCATCAGGCCGGGGTAGCTCCTTCTCCTCTCTGACATGCTAGTTTTCTATTATGCAGGGAATTTCTCGTATGAAGGAGCATCAGTCCTCCCTGAAACAGTACAGCCCAGACACAGACCTGCCACCTGGAAGCTAAACCTGCCACAATGACCTTACCTTAACTTTCCCCTCTCCTGCTCAGTTGCATCTCCCCTCCTTTCTGTCCCCATCCCTTCCCTTTCTTGATAGGAAAGCAATCCCACATTTCCTAAAAGGGCACAGGTGCGAATAAGTCTCTATTGTTCTTCCTCCAGCCCAGAGATTCCTATCTATTTACTATATAAATCAAGTGCAGCCAGTTCTATACCACACGGAGAATAAGTTAGTAGAATTCTAAGGTCACAGAATTCTGAACACTGCTGCAGACTACAGACAATAGGTTATATTCGTAATGCTTCCTGCATGCTAGTTTACAAGAGGAATACACCAGATCATCTCACCCTAATGCCACAAAATCAGAGTGGGATATTGTTAATTTATATTATTCTATTTTGAAGTTTATTTATGGTTGTGAGCTGCCCCGAGGCTTCGGCGAATGGGGCGACATAGAAGTCTCATAAATAACAAACAAACAAACAAACAAACCACGGAGACCCACTACATGATGCAAGAAATCCAAAGCAAGGCCATCACCAAAAGATGGTTGCCCATCCTCCACTGAGAGACGGCTCAACACACCACTTCGAAAATGCGCTAGTTTCCTGTGCAAAGTCAATCTTTGGCACGAGGGAGCACACAAGAACACACACAAGGTCTGCACTCTTCAGTGGTTCCTTCCAAGAACATCACCAGCTCACGTCTCCTGCAGGAGCCGAATGAGATGAGGAAGCGTTAAGAGTCTTCTGAGGGTTTAAAGCAAGTCACGCTATCGCAGAAATCTTGACAATGGCCTTGTAAGATAGGACAGAATTCTCATCCCCGAAGGACAAACAAACAGCAAAGAATACAAGACAAAGCACTTCTTCCCTTTGCTCACCCAGTGACTCCATGAGATGAGATTTGACCCATTTTGCTCACAGACCAATCTGACGATCACTAAATTTTGCCACATATTTACAGCACCCCCCTTTCTCCCCCCATTCATTTTTTTTTTTTACATTTGCACAACTCTCATGCACTTGTTTATGCAGTCACTGGCACACACACTTTTCATCTTCCTCTTCAGAGTCTCCTTCCTTAGAGCACATCCACCTCCTGAATGCGGAACTAAGCCGGCCCTATTGGAAATTGAATTCTGCACCCCGGAACCCTTTTCCTCTACTGCTTCTTTCTTTGCCTAGCCTTGGGATTGATCAGGGACGTAAGTGCAACTGCCTCGCAACATGCACAACCCAAAGGCTTGCCACAAATCATGGGACAGAACTTCCGGTACAGAAACATGGTTAAACAGTTTCCAGTCCTTGGGGCAAGAAAGTGCTAAATAAACAACAGGAACAATTTCTAGAGGTCCAGAGGCAAGATTAAAGTAGACTTGCTCAGTCTCTTCTGAAGCATCCGTAACTCAACAAAATCCTAAGTGACGATGTACTTCAGTTCCTCAAATATTTTTGGCATGGATGGAAGAGATTTCTTTTTTTTTGGGGGGGGGGGGTAGGTGGGCAGGCAGTACGTGCACACACAAAAAGCAAACATGCAACTGGACAGAGGCTTCTTTGAACCAGGCTGCAACCGAACCTTGCACTCATTTTCAATAAAATCACAGCACTGGATGGCTGCACAAAGAATCTAACAGGAAATTGAGATTTTCCATGCTTACTTATTTAATTCTACACAGGCTCTTTGTCAGCTTTCCCCAGTTAGAGGCTCTCCAGATCATCAGGACAGGTCCTAGCCCTCCTGAGACTTGGCCACGGAGGCTGGGGTTGATGGGAGTGTGAGTCCAAAAGAACTGGAATGCAACAGGCTGGGGAAGGCTGCTCTTTGTAACCAAGCCCCACCTTTCGCTTGGCCCTGTAAGGGTTTAGTCCATCCAACCTCTCCTTCCCCCAACATCCCCGGGCCCCGCTCCATGTTTTCTCGATGCACTTTTAGCCACATTCTATGTTTTCTCGATGCGCTTTTTAGCCATTCCACTGAGAACGGTGTCCACTGATTATCATACCTGAGCTAAGCATAGCCTTTGCTCAGAGGTAAATTGCAAAGGCAAGGGTAACGTAAGGGAACTGCAGAAAGGGACAAGGCAAGCCCTCAAGGCTTGGCACAGCAGAAAAAGAGCGACACTCCAAATACCCAATTTGAATCACCAAGGAAAGAACGCCGTTACCTCAGCCACATATTTCACACACGCATCCATCCCCTTACCATAGGTGCCGAATTCTGTGGGGCTGGCTCCAGGATAAAAGCTGGGGGCACCTGGCTGGACAGGGTATTGCTGAGGCGGAACAACGTATGTGGAGCGCCCCTAGGTCGGAGAGAAAAGGACAAAAAGTACAGAGGGTAAGCACCCACATTTATGCTTGGAAGATGGAGGAGGAGTCAGTGGCACGGGGTTCCAGTAATCAAGCAGAGAGAGCAGGACTAGCAGGCTACAGGCAGGGCTCGGACGGACAAGGAACGACGGGCCACCCTTCCGTAACAAGGGCCGCGTCGATCCCACCACGATCTTGTGAAGACAGAGAGTCCATTATGCAGCTGATCTCAAAAGATTTTGCCAAGCCTTCTTAGGGGCAGAACAGGAACTTACCAGCTAAGGAAAGCTTTGCCCAGTCCTGGAGTTTTGGCTCTGACCCAACAGAATCATGCAGCAGTGCATCCAAGATGCCTGGATCCAATGCCCAAGTCGCTGGGCTCACGGAAAAGGGCTAGCACAGCAGCCTCTCAAGACCGTTTGTTCATGGTTTTCGGCTTCCCTGCAGCAGGTTAAAACTGGCCAGAGGCTTGCGGCTACTCTGTGCTTTCCTGGATCTGTCCTTGCTAGCAAGCTCCATCAGCCATACCTGTGCTCCATCATAAAGTTCCGTACCACCCTCATTCCCTTATTTGGGGGTCAGTGAGCAAAAACGCAGTGACAAAAGTCCATGAAGCTGTGGCCCAGCAGCATTGTGGAGTATCTTTCCTGAGAACCTTTCAAGGAGAAAAAACTTGCATTTGCGTGCATTTGGAGTACCAGGCCTTAGGCATTAAGATGGGGAAATGACTGGATGCCTTCCAAACCTAATGAAAGTTCCTGGGAGGCAGAAAGGCTGAAAGAACCAGAAACGGGACTCCACTACCTGCAAGGCTCCAGGTGAGATCTGCTCAAAGGTATATGGCAATGAAGCCCTAAGATATATGGCCTATTCCACCTTCACTATGCTATGGGGGATAAGTGGCTGAGAGAAGGGGGAGAAGCACAAACGAGGCACACACAAGTTCCCGCTGCTGGTCAAACACAGAATGGGACATGGGAGCGGGGGGCGGATGCAGGAGGAGCAGCTGCAAAATGCTTGACAATTATTTTAGGATGAGGATCAGAAGGAAATCACCATAGAACAAAGCAGGGCTACAAAATAGAAGGAAATCTTACAATAACCATAAACAAGGCACGAATCTATACAAGTTTAGACAGAAAAAGGGCTACAACCCTTGGCATAAAAGCGGTAGGCCTTTTTTTTCTGTCTAAGCTTCCACAGGATTGCATTTAACCAATTAGGTTTGTATACATTTTCAGATGAAAGCACATAACAATCGCAATTTACTTTTGGGTGATGTACCTATATGTTGAAGCAGGCTTTTTCATGGAGGCATTTACAACCAGGACAGAATGTCTTTCTATGGGGTTTGCTATCTATTGTTCTTGAAGAGCCCTTTTAAAAAAAGCCCACTATTAAATCTATTACCTGGTAAGTTGAAGCGACTTTCTCAGCTGATGAAAAAGTTTTTAAAGCCATTCATTGTGTAATCTTTGCCACCCTGAGCTGCAACTAAGCAGCCTGGGCCGGCATACCCAAGAACACCCATGCTCCACTATGATCCTGAAGAGTGACCAGGGACACCCTCCACTTGAAGGCATTCTCACTGGTCCTCCCACCACTGTGGGTGACTCACCTGCAGTGATTTCCTGAAATGGTGCAAAATGTTAAGACAAAGGGTAAAATAACTTGCATGCTGTTGCCCACCCCATGCTCTGCGGGTAAAGTGGCCTACTTTATCTTCATTTTGCAGATTATCAGGCACCTTTTCTTCATTTTTTTCTCACTGACAGACGTTGATTTGTTCTTTAACCAGAACTTTGTTCCACTTGCACTAAATCTGCATTAGTGCAAACTCCCACAACCAAGTAAAAACACCAAAAAAAAAAAAAAAAAGCAAAAAAATGGGAAAACCAGTCTGCCGTAGAACCCACAGGCTGGATTCACAGAAATCCAAACTCATTTCACTCTATGAAAGATTTCTCCCTATAAATCAAGGTCTCCTGCCCCCTGAAGCTCCTTGTGCCCAAAAAGCAGGATGAGGCACGCATCAGAGATGCTCAACCTCAGCTGCTACGCCCCACCAGTGGCTTCCAAAATCCCATTCCTGACCCACACATTTGTTGGTTTCTCTATTTCAATCTGACTTGTGAGCTACCACAAGTGGTAAAACAGCTCCCTGCTACTAAGGTTTAAATCAAAGTATGAAAGTGCAACCTGAATTTTATCTCCAATATTACCGTTAGAAATGCCTTAACCCAGCTTAGGATGCAGCAGATGGCTACCACTGTTTTAGAGAAGCATTTTAAGAAAATACCTCATGACCCTAGATTCTGCCCATGGGGTACTTGAGTCAACGGAAGACCTCCCTCATTATCTGTTTCACTGCCCTATTTTTTATGAATAAAATAAAGTATTCACAACTTGCCCCTCATAAGGAAAACTCACTGGTCCAAACTGGAAAAATAGATTTTCTGTTTATATCTCATAAAAGGACAACTTTATGGGCTGCAATGAACTTAAGATCCTTTCATTTCCCAAACTGGGAGTTAATTTCCCACCCACTGTACAGAAAGATAGAACAGGTTCTACAGATTATCAATTGTTTTCCTCAAGGTGTTCTTAGGTATCTTTTGGTTTCTGCTTGCAGTGATTGTCAGTTATAACAATAAAAATGTTATTTATTCATTCATTCACCCGCACATTTGCCAGGAGCCTTTGCATGCACATGCATAAGCACCATTACCAAAAGTGTGCCTTGATTTTACCAAATGTGACCATTCTCTGACAACAAAGGCGGCAGCGCCCACAGATTCACATAAAAACCACTGGAGCCAAGGCGAGGGTGCTATCAGTTGAGATGTGTGTGGTTACAGTGAGGGAGCCAGGCAGCAAGGTGCAAAGCCTGCTCCAAAACGCGACCGAAACCCATCGGAAGGCAAGCTGGCAGCGGGGGCCAGGAGGCACAGATCACTCGGGAAAGTGTAGCAGCTCCTCCTCTTCAGCCCTCCACAGAGAAGACCTCAGGCCCCAATCTAACCCTCACCTGTCCAGGGATGTAGTAGGCGCCTTGCGAAGCAGGGTAGGAGATCTGTGAGGGGATCATCATCACCTGGGAAGCAGCTGGATAAACATGAGTGGGTGGGCCAGGCCGAGCCGACGCGTTACTCTGCACCCGGGAAGCACTTGTCGGAGGCTGGGCCCTGCTCTGGTAGAAATGCTTCAAGAGAGAAAGGAGAGAGGGGCATGCTTGGTTAGCAAGGCCTGGCCTGAGAAACCCCAGAGACACAGCTGCTTCTCCTTTGCCAGCCCCACAGCCACCCCACTCCCATGGAGACTCCAACTGTGGCCCTGCGAATGCCCCCTGTGCAGGAACCTGCCTGGGCCACAAGCAAGGGATGGGACTGCCAGCTAAGGCAAAGCCTGGCAGCTCCTGCTGACCCCCTGCGAACTAAGCAGCGGTTTTGTTTCTAGAAGAACGCAAGCCTCGAGCCCAGAAGAGGCTGCAGAGAAAAACCTGACACGTGGGCAAGTTTTGCACAACCGTTACGTCCTGCTCCAGTTTTCCAAGAGTGAAGACGTGGGGCCCCTGTGCAAAGAGAACAACAGTCCTGGAGAAGGGCTCCAATTCTCTCATAGCCAGGGATGGCAACCACTTTACCTGGAGGACCACTCAGGGAGAAACAAGAGAAGGGTGGCTTCACCCCAAGCGCCACTTCCTCAGAGTGGCCAGCTGGCAAATTCTGCCATTGCAGCCATGCTGGATTAGCTCAGCTCAGGTTCTTCTTCCTCCCCAAATAACTGTTGCTGTTGCTGAATGATGTCCACTCATCTCCGACTTAGGGCAAGCCTATGAATGAATGCTGTCCAGTAAGTCCTGCCCTTGACTGTCCTGCTCAGCTCTTCCTCAATGGAGTCGATTCAGCTCATATTTGGCCAAGTAAGTGTTATGAGTCTAATTCTACACAGCAAACCCAAACACAGAGGAGTAGCGAAGATAATGCAAGCAACCTAGCCTGCAAGTGGAGGCAATTGCCGTTTTTCTTCAAAACCCATGATTAGAGCACTGCAAAGCACATCCGTCGGAAAGCAGCAACACTAGCCAGATCCAAGCTCAGGCTACTATTCTAAAGGCTTACATAACTAGCTCATGGTGCTGAACTTCAACCAGATCAGTGATTCTGTGGCCTACAAACATTACAAGCCGTGGGATACAATGTACCGTCGTGTAGGGACGGAGAAGAAAACAAGACACCGCAAAGAATTGTGCAAACTAGGCAAATGCTTTGCAAAAAATAAAAAAAGACGATGATCCAGAAGCAACCAGAGCTGGAAAGAATCCCCCCATCCCTTCCCTGAATGCGAAGGAAGACTGCGATGGATCACAGTGATTCATGTGACTCCTGCTCCCAGAGCTTTACGCTATAAGATGGGGAGGATACACTAGCCAAAGCCATGTGTGTCCCTGAAGACACAACAGCCATTGTTTCAGCTGCGCAGTGAGCAACCTGCACTCTCGCCCACCGGAGGAGTGTTATAGAAAAGGCATTACCTGAAGAGACCTGAATCCTCCCTGTTCGCACGCACGCACACACGCACACACAAGGAGAAAAGGGAGAGAGAGAGAGAGAGAGAGAGAGAGGGAGAGAGAGAGAGAGAGACAGAGAGAGAAAGAGAGAGAGAGAGAGGAGTTACCTAAGGCCAAATAGGTTACCAGGCCCAGGGGAGCAGCCCAACACCGAGCAGGAAAGCAACTGCAGCCACGTGAGAAGCGGGGTTTCAGGGCAGGCAGAGCTGATGAGGGGACAAAGAAATGGGCTGCAGAACATTCTCATGTCAAACTAAGCGCCACCAGAGGACAAGGGCAGAGAGAGCGGCCAGCGGACTCTACCGAGCAGGCTAGAGCGCACACCTGCACGGCAACAGCTCGGTGGGTCACACGCAGTGCCAGCCAGCCTGCGTCACATTAACGGGCAAGTTCTGCATCAGCACCCGAGAGCCCAGGGCTTGGTGTCTGAACTCTGTTTCTTCCCTTGCTTGATCCTCTCTGCTTTCCGTTGGCTATGATCTCCTCTGTGACCTGACTCCTCTCATTCGTTCTCGTACAGTTTCCTGCTCTGGGCACCCACCACACTGCTGGCTCTAAGAAAGAACCCACTACACAGAGCACCTCGCGGGGTAGGAGGCGGCAACCAACAGCAACAAATGCCATAATCAAGAGAAGTCCTGAGAAGTACGGCTATTATAGTAATGGCCATCTTATAATAAACACTTCATTGGAGACAGGGGATAACCCTATGAAAAACAAAGCGCCCGATACAGCACTTCCGGCATCCATGTTCGATGAATTATTTGATTTGGAGCACAACCTTGGAGGCATTCTGATAAATGGAAAACTAGATGGACATGATTGCTATAAAACTATCTTAAAAGCCAGTTTTACCATATGTACGAAGACAGGTAGCCCCTTCTTGGAGGTGTTCCAAATTAGGCTTTGTGCTCACACAAAAATATATAAATTGCTGTTTAAGAACAATTAGGAGACTAGTAAAAATGCCATCTAAAATTTGGAGGATCCTTTTGGACTGGTGGAAACCATTAAGAATGGAGAAGGCTACAGATGGAAGTACCAGATTATGCCAGATATATTTTATTATCCAAAGCATACTTTAGCAGCCTGGTGCCTTCCAGATGGCTTGGGACTACCATTCCCATAATCCAGAACCAGGCTTCCTCTTTTCAGTTGGTTTGGCTATCAGAGAGCACGAGTAAGATGTTCATGCTGTGTACTAAACATTATGGAAACAGCTTGACAAAAATATCAACCAGCGGTTTTAGCTCTGCACTAGCTCCCCAAAGGAATGTCACCTGTATGTGGAAGTCCTGCACCCAGCCAGGTCTTCTACGATAACAATGGTAGAACCACTGGGTTTCTCATTTAATTTTTGACAATCCATTCTTCCTCCCCCCTCCCCAACCACTGATGGTTTTCTTTGTATCTGATCCAACACTACACGTTCTCATTGCCACAAGACCGGTATTTGCAGAACACTGCAAAGTGATCCTTGCACCGGAAAAATGATTGCTTAAGGAAATGATGAGCTTTGTTTATTTTGGTTAAGCTTACAGCTTATCAAAGATAATCAATACAATATGAAAACGTAAGCGATCATTTGCAGTTCAACTGCATGTTCTATAATTACTGAATTACGCACAGTAAATAGTTACATATAGTATCTGAATATAGGATTGTGTTTCTTCATGTATAATAGAGGAAGAATAAGGGTATGGTAATTTTAATGTCTTAGTAAATAAAGAGTGGGGGAGGGATCAATAAAACTCTTCACTATTCTCTAAAAGCTTCCATGGTTAAATAAAGTCTCCATGGCTAGAACACACTCCCTTTTCTCCAGGAGATAAACTCTTCCCAGCTCCCACATCCCCCTAGAAAGAGCACCATCCTAGCCTCCTGAGCCACTCCTCCTTGCGCAGGTGCTCAAAGATGGGAAGGAAAACTATTCAGGAGTGGGCAGGCAGCCTGAGAACCCCAGATGAATGTGTGTGGAGCTACCAAGAGCAAGCCCACCCCAGACCCTTCCAACCACAGCCCAAGATGAATCAGAAACAGGAACATGTCCAGAGTGCTTGCATGTGCGGCCTAGATCCAGCCCAAAGCACCTCATGTCCTTTGGGAACTGACCAAGCAGCAGCACCAGACAAACCCCAAAATGCAGAGATGGGGAATACAACTGCAAAGGAAAGGGGACAGAGCCAGTGAGGAGGGGATTACTGATGTCTTGACAGCACTGAGCCAGACATTTTGCTCAGAGGTTGCGCAGGATGCTGATTATGGAAACATATCATGGCAACCAGGACCATGGCGATTCTAGTAGCCAATTAGAATGGATCATTTCCCAAAATTGAAAGGTGGGATATAGAAGCATTCCAGGCTTAAATTATTTACCAGACTTCCCAAACTGGTATCTCCCGGAAGTGGTTGCAGTACAGCTTCCATCAACCCTGGTTGGAGCTGCAGGGCAGCATATATGGAGGAAGAGTCTGAGGAAGAGTGAAATTTAGGGAATTTTCGAGTGTCCAAAGCGCTTTGGGTATAGACCTGAAACCATTCTGTGATACGATGCTGATATGGGCCAGCTACTGCTGAGAGACAATCACTTGCCCGATCATGTACTGAGACTATGGCACAGGATTTGAACCATGACCTCCTCGGTCACAGTCCAGCCTCTACACAGCAGTGTGATGGACCAGGAGAGGCATCAGGGGTCTGACAAGGTTCAAAGCTTCTTGGTAAAGACTGAGGTCTCTTGCACACCCACGATAAAGAATCGGCATTCTTGATCTGGCCACCAAACTTGGAAGGTGGGTATACAGTTTTGGGCCCAGCAAGATTAGCCCCAGGGCAGCAGGGTACAAGCCTCCTTGGCCACAAGGTTTGGGGAAGTTCAGCAACAGGACAAATGGATTTTGTCCTGTTATGGAACCTAGAGGGTCTCCCTTTTGAACTAACAACTCCCTCAGAAATACAGACAGTGCCTGAGCATACACGCCTACAACCTAACTCCTGAGCAGGGTCATGTAGAGGGAGCACATACGTGTATTGTATGGAAATATGCAATCTTTTCAGCCGCATAAGTTCACGCTAACAGAAGTTTGCAAGACCCAGCCTCAGGCAACACTTGGGAACCTCAGCTTTTTCCCCTTCCTCCCCTCAAACCAACGGCTTGAGCTCCCCTTGGTGAGCAGCCCGGTACAACAGAGACATGGAAGCCACCGTGGCCAAAGGGGTGGGATGGGGAGATGGACATTTTGAGTCGACAGAGAGGATACTGTCTCCTGTAAGCAACAGGTAGCTTGACAGCGATGTGCAGATCACAGTGGAGAGGACTAAGAACTACATCCCTGGCACCTTCAAAGGGCAGCACAGAGAATGCGAAAGGCCAATGGCTCCGAAATGGTGCTGAGAGCAACCTTGGGTGCAGGCAGGCAGACCTTTTCATGGGGCGGGTGGAGGAGGCACCGTATGGGAAAGCAACATAGGCAGAAGCAGCGCCTTCCAAGCAAGAAACGCAGTAGCAGAGAAGCAGCCATTGTGAGTGGGGCATCATGCAAGCCACGTGGGAAGGGGGGAGGGTGCTCTGCTACGGACACCACAGTCAAACTGACCCCATCCAAACCCATCCATCCACTGTCCCAGCAGACACAGTGAATTCTACGTGGCTGCCGAGCATCTGTGCCACGGATTCGTTTACCCATTTGATGACATTTGTTTTCTCCTTGACACCTGCACAAACTTAAATAGTGGAGAGATCGACAGCAAGATTGTCTTTAAAAAGTAACTCTTGGCATTCCTGCCACACTTCAGAATGTTGGAAATGCTTCCGATGTATTGATCTCACTGCAATCCTTACAGCTCTTCTGTCAGTTGTAAGAGTCAGTACTATTATTCTCATCCTGAGGAAACAGTGGGAAGTTTGCCTAAGGCTACCCAGCAAGTTCGGAGCAGATACATGGCAAATCCGAACCCGGGACCTTTCAGAAATGATGCCGGTTGCCCTCCTTAATAGGCCGCCACAGTTTCCCTGCAGAGTCCGAGCAAAGCCCCTCACATAGCTGCTTCTCCCCAGGATGGCACACAGCATGCAGTGAGAGGAGAGGGGAAGGGTTAATACCTGCTGATGTAAAGCACGAGGCCCTGCTGGAAACTAAGACAGGGAAGAGCGAGGGGAAAGGAGACAAGAGCAGAACATCACTGACAGTTACAGGCACCTCCCCCCACCATGCACCTCACTCCCCGAAGTGGCTCAGCTGCCTACCTGCCCCCTCTCTGCATCCACACCCGCCAGCTCATAAAGCAAGGATAGGGCAATTTCAGCCACACCTCTTCCTTCATAGCTGGCTCTACAGCACTCGCGTAAACCAACATCCCCACCCGGCACACGCTTCAGAGGCGTTCCTGCGTCAGCGGCGCCTGCAGACCGAGTGAGCCTGCAGGGCTTCTTATGCCTGGCAACCCGCAAGCCACGAGCAACACGGAAGAACCTGTTCGGCAGCACATGAGAGAATGTGATTCTGCCACCCGAGAGAGTCTTGTGGCCCAAGAGCACCAATAACAGCAGTTCCTACAACCCCCTTACCTGTCGAGGCTGGGAAGGCGTATTCATTTGGGTAGCTTGCGCTGGGTTAAAAACCACAGGTGCCGCCTGACCAGGAGGAAATGCTGACTGCTAAGAAAGGGGAGAAGAGAGGAAGAAAAGGAGCAGGTTAGAGCCTCAGGAGCTGTCTTAATCCCCAACCACAACTTAGACAGCACATTAGCACAAGGAAGCATTTGTGTGAATACACATTGCAACCCTACGCTAAAGTTCACCAAACGGATTAAAATGGCTGTTCGATCAACCCCATACTTGCAAGACTGAACGGGCAGACATTGCTACAAGGTCCAGCTAGAAGCCAAACGGGAAGTGAGCTGCACAAAGGTATATTTGGAGCAACTCACACAGAAGAGGAGCTGCTTCCCAAACCATTAGAAAAGACAAGGGCAACAGAAGGTGCTAGTGAATGGAAAAGAACAGTTTGTCTTAAGCCTCACAGGACAGAGGGCAGGATGGTCTGGGAGCATGAATCCTTACCTGTGGAAGTCCAGGAGAAGGGGAGGGATGTGGGGCTGATGGGGTTCCTCCTGAGGGCTGTGGAGCTTTGTTCATTTCACGTGGTGCTGCATAAGGATCCCCTTGCTATCTGCTGGGATGAAGAACAAGAGAGGCATCATGAAACTGAACCCAGAAGGAATCGGCCATGACTGAATACTCCTGAACATGGCATCACTGGGCCACGGCTGTCGCTACCACTGGACACCAGAGCAGATGGGAAAGGTGTGTGGGGCGCAAGGGTGGCCAGTGCATCCAGGTCTCATTTCAGGTTGCATGGAACAGCCTGGGCACCACTGGATCTCCCATTACCACACATGAGACCAGGATATGCGACAGAACCACGGCCTCTTCAAGGACAAGTCAGGTAAGGAGAGCAGTGAGTTCGGTACCACAGGAGATCCAGGCAACTATCCCGTTTGTCACCAAGCTACAAGGGCCAGCACACTTCCTTGGCTTTTATTTCTGCGGAAGGTGCTCTGTATTTTTACACTGTGTCCCACAGAAGAGTATCCTGGCCTTCAGAAGCAACACAAATCATGAGAGGGCGATTTTGGTATAGGCTTTGCATGTCCAAAAAGAGCAGATGAGAAATTTCTAGCCTGCCTTCTACATGCCTATTCAGCGTGGAATGAAACTCAAGATTTGGCCTGCTGGGAATGTGTTTATATTTCGTTAAAAATAACAACAAAAGCAGACGAGAGGTTTCTCATTGACTAGATCACATTTGTTTGGTGCTATTGCCCCATTCCCGCATCCTCTCAGACTCCTGTTCCTAAGGACCTAGTCAAACTTTCCCGCAAGAAAGTGCAAATGGAATCTGCTGAGCTTGCCCCAAAGCGTTGGCTGAAGGAGGGCAACTGGCAGCAATGTTTGACCCCATCTGACAAAACAACCCAAAGGATTCATTTTCACATTGCAACCTACCGAACAAAGTATATGCATAATGCTTTTGGGCCACAGGGGTACCCGACAGAAAGATGGGCATCATGCTTTAAGGGTGCTTCTTGCATGTGACCCACCAAAGTACCCAGCTTGTTTGTGGATCTGTACAGAATACGACCGCTGCTGCCACAACAGCACCCACTGCTCATGTCCTGCAGCGCCATGTTGAGACCTGCCAATTTGAGCTGCCATTTCTAAATAGGTCCAATTCTGCTGCTCCCTACTGACGTGTACAATGACTGCAAGATCACACGCCACTGGGAAGACCATCCCTATTTGTGGTATTGGTCTTTTCTTCAGCACATTCCAGTGCACACAGAACACACAGCATCTAGCTCAGACCCTCAGTTAATTTAAGCTGCTAGTGGAGCTACAAGGCAACAGGATGACTTGCCCAAGAACAATTCATGTCTGGCTGGACTTCAACAGCAGCAGGCACTACCCATAAATGAGACATGTGGACTGATGCACCATGATGACCTCCCATTACACCCCGTTAACTTCCCTGCATTCTCAGGACTCTACATGAGAGTGTGGCTACAAGAAATAGGAGCACCACAAGTCTGTACAGAAGGCTTCTATCGAGTCCCCACTCCATACCCTGGGTCCAACAAGCCAGGTCACTAAGCTGCAATCCAAGCACATACCTGCCCAGCCTCATGTACGCAAGCAAAGGAAATGAATTCTTTCAGGAGCAAATGAAAGCAACCAACTGCTGCAGAATACAGGGCAACCCCATCACAGATCCTGGAAAGTTTTGGCCTACCAGATGCCCCTTTAGAAGAGGGGGAGAATTAGAAGCCTCCAGACTGTTTGCGGGCTAAAGAAAGAATGCACACACACATACACCAAGAGCGCCCTGACAGGACTCCCTCCCATCTTCTTAGGATTGCAGCCAGTGAGCAACAACACAACCTGTGGAATCTCCTGGGAACAGGATCCTTTGGGACTGCACAGGGGCCGGTGCCCCTCTGCAATACTGATTGAGGTAGGGCTGGGGTGGGGGGGTCACAAAGGCAGTGCAGCCAGAAAAGCGGTCCCCCCCCCAATCACCCCACCCAAACAGACCTGGAGCCCTGCTGTAACCTGACCCCCGGGCTGCTGCAGTCAGCATTTCAGGCTCCCAACACTTGGAGGGAGAGATGGAAGGATACGCAATGCTAAAGGAGGACAGGTTTCTGCAGAATTCCCCGCTCAGCACACAGCACAGGCAAGCAAGTTCTTGGCTGAGTGGCCCTGCTGAGGACACCCGGACTGACTACATCTGGATGCTGATCCTGCAGATTTCACAGAGCACTAGCAATAAAGCCGAAGGGTATGCAGACCGAGGATGGGGAATGGATGACTGGGGTGCAATTTCCTCACCACCATTGGGGTCACAACTACCAGCTCTTTTCCCCAGTCTTCCTAGCTCTTACTGGTCCCGAGTGCCAGTATTTTAATGGGGCATCCCTTGGGGGAAGATGCTTGTTTTGGGGTGGTGGCGCTATGGCTGACCTGGGCACAGCCTGTCCCTGGGCATTCTCCCTTCACCAGCCAGCCACACAGTGGTGCAGTATCATGTACAGGCGCTCAGGGAGGGGGCACTCTGCAGCCTTTCCGGCAGCAAGCAACTCCACATGGTGCTATGCACCCAAGCCTATGGAAGGACCCCACTGTAGATGGGCCTCAACTTCCAGATGCAGGAACAGAGACCGAGCCCCTCCCTGCCCTGCGTGCACATCTGTAAGGCAGAGGACAGCCCTTCACATGGAGGAAGGGCACCGTCTCACAAAACAGATTCCCAAGGGGTGAAAGGAATCAGGTCAGTGCCACAGGGGAGGCCCATGAGCTGCTGAGTCCCCCCCCCACACACACACACACACACACACAAGTGCCTCTGTGAAGTTCTGAAGGACGCAGCCGATGCTGCCCCAGAGTCTGGGGAGAGGTAACTCTAGGTGAAAGTCATTCCCCCACCCCTACCCCAATCACGCCAAATATGCCAATGGATTCTTTCTGCAGGCCAGCCCGCTGCCAAGGACTCTTCCTCCCCAGGCCAAGGCCAAGACATTCTCTGTGCACAGGCCCAACCCCAGCAACATACAGCTATGAAGACGAAGATTAAGTTTGGGAACCTACGTATCTTTACTTCTCCCCGCTCCCCCCACAATCCTTGACCATGCTAAACCAGGACGGGGCAAACAGAAAGTTGAGGCCTCTCTGGGAAAGTGCCCCCCTCCACCAATACGCTACTCAAAACATGCACAGCAAAGACACAGAGTGGGAGACATAAAATACTCACCCCTAAGTAGGAAAACCCCAGGCCAGCTTCGTAAGCAGCTGAGACTTTTCATCTGCCACACTTTGAGAAAGCGAAGGGGGGTGGGCTAGGGGAGAGAATATCAGCCTGCAAACCTGCTGGTGCGTGGCGGTGAGGGTCGGGCTCGCCAAACATGGGCAAGGCAGGGGACAGCCCCCCACCCCCACCCTGGGAAGGCCAAGAACATGAGTGCCGGGAGCTGTCGGTGGTGTCAGATCGCAGAGTCTGCTGCACTGCAGAGACACCGAGACAGAGAGAGGAGAGCGAGGGAGACAGACAGACTGTGGAGAACCAGGGAGCACCCAAAACCCCACCCACAGTTACAGTCATTCGGCCCCAGCACTGCCCAAACCAGTCGAGAGAAAATCCCACGCCTACATGCCTGAGTCACTTGCATTGCACAGGCAGGAGGTGCAGGAAGAAAAAGGCAGGCAGGCAGGCAGGCAGGCAGGCAGGAGGCAGGCTCGTGGCCCAGCCTAGCGAAGCCTCTCCCTCCTGGCACAGCCAAGCAACCAGACACCCACCTGTGCTACCGGAGAAGGCAAGGGACAGATGGCAAGAGGGAGCCAGGATGCTGTGCCACGCACAGCCCCAACATCCGTGGGAGGCCGTCCTGCACAGGGAGCATGCCCTGCCTCACCCCATCTCCAAGTGCAGGAGCTCTGGACTGAGGATCGGGGACTGTACACCCCGCAGCACTGCCTCCAAAATCAGCAAGAACCGTGATGCGGGTGGCAGCAGAGGCAAATGGGCATGATTCTACGGGGAGAAGAGGCAATGCGGTTAAAGCAGCTTTGGAGGCAGAAGTCCTAGTTTGGTTGTGGAGGAGGGAGAGACAGGAAGCAAGGAGGCAGAGTTCAAGAAGGAACACCTGCAGGGGTGCAAGGTCCTGTCTCAGCACTTCGAGGGGACAGACTTGAATCTGGAACACTTTGGCAGGCAAGCAAGCAAAAAAGAAAAAAAAAATCAAGGCTCAGCCTCAGTGCTCCTATCTGTAAATCAGCGACCACAGTGATCCTTGCACTATTAGCTCAATTGAAGTCCTTGTAAAATAAATAAGCAATGTTGATGATAACCAACAGTAATCTGTCCATATTTCACTCAAGAAACCTCCTCCTGCCGACAACTGGTTCCTCCCAGCATGGCAGGAGTCAGAGACAGAACAAATGCAGAGTGGCTTCCCAAACCTGCTTTCAGTTTGAGAAAGGACAGGCTCCTGCCATGCTTTTTTAAGGAGGGTTTTAGAAGAGGTGAGGTTGAGAGGGAGAATGAAGGGTGAGGACACATTCAACTTATGCTAGTGGGGCTAGAAGGGGGCTGTGAATGGCACAGGAGGGCTAGAAATAGCTGAAGGGGCAGGTAGAAACTAAAGGAATTTAGTGACAACCTCAGATATACAGTCTCCTCCTCCCAAAAAAAAGAAACCCACACAAGGAGGAATGCCTCACTTGCTTCCAAAGAGGGTAAACAGGCGCGAAGCTAGGATGCTCTCAGCATTTACCACTTATGCACTCAGGGAAAAAGCAGACCTGAAGCCTCCAGGAGCAGAAATCAGGAGAAACAATTCCCAGGGGTCGCTGAAGTGGGTTGCCATGGTGTTGGACAATCAGCATTTGGAGCAATCAGGCAAAGGACCACCCGGAGGGAACTGCCACTTCTTTGGGTCATGACCAGACTTACAGCACTAATGCACCAGGTTAAAGACAGCACTGTGCAGCTAACAAGGACTGCAAGCCACATTTCCACACTATGGAAAACTGGAAAAACAACTCCCTGACCAGAGAGCGCCTACCTAGAGGGACTGGAGCAAGGAACTTGCTTGCCTATCTCCAAATTCTCTTGGC